TGGCCTTCTCTAGAGCTCTTGTTAGCCTGCTGCACAACCTGATTATAGAGAGTCTTATCACATACCTTTGACGGCCTTTCCGGCTCGTCTTCCTCGGCGGCGAGGGGGGCGCGACACCAGCGCTGCCTTTACTGCAACGCCCATTGCTGCCACAAGGCGGCAGTCAGCCACCTCGTGCCCTGTCTTGCGACAAAAGTCACACCGGAGCTAGAGTTTTCCCAAGAAAAAAGATCAGTATATTTCGAAATCCACTATATCAGATATGGTATAGAATGCATACCTTGGCCATTTTTGAAAAAAAAAAAAAAAATCAAAATTTTTGGTTTGAACAGATGGAAAGGGAGCAGGTGCGAAAACTCCACATCATTTGGATCAAGTTCCTCAGTTTGATGATGTGCTGGGAGACCTTCTCTCGGATCGTCCATTTGCTCGAATTCGGCGACTCGAAAGTGAACTTGGCCCCTAGGCCGAATCGGCGCTTTGGGATAAATTCGATTTGTGCCATGGTTATTGCGGCAAATAGCTTTTGCGATAGATGGATTTTGCGAAGCACATGAGCGGCTCTCAGACTAATTTGAGGATGAGCTGGAATAGTGAAGGAAAATAAGAGAGGATGAGTTGGAAGAGTGGAGGAAAGGAAGAGAAGCAGAGCAGAGAAGGAAGTACACACGTGGGGCAGGGGCACATCAACGGCAGTAGCTACCCAGACGACACATCAGCATTTGGACTATCTATCTTTTGACTGTCTTTTGACTGTCTTTTGAACTATCTTTCGAGGGTGCTTTGAGGGTTAGACAGTCAATGGCAGACCAAGCCCCGTGCATCAAGGCATATGGAACATGAGAGGAAAAGTCGAGTGTATAAGGTGGCGTGGCAACCCAGGACAGTGAGTCATTTAGAATTAACTAGGACCAGAAGGGCTTGGATATCCTCACTGTTTAAAGATTAACCAACTACTGCATTCTCTGTAAGTTTGAAATAGATCCATCAGTTTGGCGAAGTGATCAAAAAGTGAAAAAAAATTGACATGAATGTCAGATGAGAGTATCAGTGACACTAATTAAAAATGAGGCCATGACCAACGGAACTGCGACTTAGGAATAATGTTATCGTCCCCTCAACGTGCAAATAATTATGTAGCATTTCAAAGCAAATCATTCTGTCACGGGCGTCAGTTCGCCGAAATCACATCTTCGTTGAAAAATGGCAGCTTGCACCCCCCAATGAACCTGCACCACTCAACAAACATTACATCGATAGCCTCAGAGCTCAGAGCCGGAATGTGCCCCCGATGGTTCCGCAACTCAGTTCACTCCTGCAGGCGATCGAGCAAAATGCAACAATCGGATGTCCGTTGGTGATCCATTTCGAGGCTCTCCATGACTGACTGCCTACTGCAACCGAAAGTGACATTCTCATCCAGGACTGGCATTTCCGTCAGATGTACCGCTTCTTGCTCTGAGTGTACCTTGAAAGTAGAGCTTCCTTTGCCGTTCGCTTTGAGATTAGAATGACGATTCTAACGTGCCCTTCAGAGCAGCGCAACCAACGTTTCGCATCTTCACGTAGATGAGTCAGGGATTCTGAGACACCTGTCTCCACAACTAAAGTTGGCCATTGAGATGGTGGTAAGCCAACTCGAAGACGGGTTTCAGGAACAAACGCATTATCGGCTTGATCGGCGCCTTCTGTTCCTTTGCCCGGACGGGCAGAGCATCGGTCTTGGCCTTGGCCTTAGCCTTGGCCTTTCCTAGAAGTTTTGTTAGTCTGCTGCACAACCTGACTATAGAGAGTCTTATCACATACCCTTCACAGCCTTTCCGGCTCGTGTTCCTCGGCGGCGAGGGGGACGGGAAAGCAGCACTGTTTCAACGGCAACACTAACTGCAGCAACAAAGCGACAGTGCGCCACCTCGTGTCCGGTTTTGCGGCAAAAATCACAGCAGAGATCCAGGACTGTTGATCTGCGCCACCGCTGCGTCGAGGCAGATGTCCGAGGGAATGCGTCGTCAGGTGGTGTAAGGCGAGGTATAGGTCAAATTTGGAACCCCGATATCCATCAGATCAGCGTAAAAAAGCGCGTCTAGTCCTCCAGATAGTTATGACACCAGTTATGACTCCTACAATCGCCACCAAGTGTTGAAATGTGTCCCACATCTGAGCAGTTAGTTTGAATAAGAGAAATGCTTTCCGGAGAGAAACAAGTAAACTGGCTGTTGGGGAATTAGTTGGCAACTGCAACACGCCCGAGGGCAACGCCTAGGGGAAGTTGTCGTACCCGATGTCCAATAGACCATCGCTCGAAAGCACGGCCAGCTCGCCAACCTGTAATCACTGCAATTTTTTCTGCTTATAATAATGGCGAAATGTTGGTGACCACATGACAATGTTGGCAGTTTTAAACCAGGGGATAGGGAAATGTGTTCTGGAGAGAAAAGCAAAAGAAGAGATGTCTAAGTGACTACAGAGAGGGTAAAATATGGGAACCTAACCATCTATGAGGAAGGAACAGGTAGATTGGCTGTTGGGGAATTATTTTGGCAACCGCAACGAGCCCGAGGTTGGGAAAGAAAGGGCACATGATGATGGGAAGAACAGGGAGCCCATAGATTTGGGTGCATCGGGCCGAACCGATCAGAAACTGTGAGAAAATTGAGACTCTTAGAGAAGTGGCAGCTACTGGGCACGAGAATGATTGAAGAGAGGAAGAGAGTAAAAACCATGGAAGTGGTGAGATAAATGAGAGGTAGAGGGAGACTATTCTCTTTTGGTAATAGTAAACAGAGACAATGATTATAGATGCATTCATCGTAAATACCTGTCAGTCGTAAATACAGTGCCTTCTATCAATAGACAAGTCGAACTGGAAACAAAATTACTGTTCCTACTCACGTTTGGCTGCGGCATCGAAACCATGTATCCAGTTTATGACGATCCTCAACATCAAGAGTGCACCGATAGAGCTTAGCCCGTCACCAAGAATTATTTTCGTTGGCTGATTATCCCCCATGTCCCCATGAATATTTCACATAAATCCTCAAGATCTGACAAGATGTTGAGACTACAGGGCGAGAAGAAGGGGCAGACAGAACCGAACGAACTGACTCGTCGGGAAAAGAGAGGGAAGAAGAGGAGAGGAGCGGTGGCCGGATTCATCTACTTCTCGTACGAGGGTTGGGAGGAACCCCCTACAAGTACACAACAAAAGATGGAAAATTGGCTTCGAAAGCTGAAAAACCCCGCGCCTCCATCCCCCGGTTTTCAGGTTCTTCCGCCAGAGATCACGACGATGATAATCCGATATTTATGTGCCCCAGACATGATTTGCTTCTCATTGAGTTGCAAATATGCCTTGGCTTGTGTGCAATCCTTGCTTGGTTGCCATAAACTACGATTTTGTCAAACCTTCGATTGTGTTGTGTTTGATTGTGGAGGGAATGCATATTCCTTGCTGATCCGACTCGAAAAAGACACGGGTCTGAGATTCTGTGGATGGGGTTCCAAACTCCATCCATTTTCTCTACGGCGCGCCTTGCGGGATATTTTGAATCTTCGCGAAGAGCCGTGTTGTTCTGTCCGGGAATTGGATGGCTACACGCTACCAGACCCTTGATTGAACGTTTGTGAAGCTACCGGTACTATTTTCTTAGTCCATCTCTATCTAACGACGCGAATTTCAGAAACGTGGATTGCTATTTCAAGTCGGGTTATATGAAAGTCTGGCTGATTATATGTCGCCCGTGGGGTTCGATCAAAATGAAAATTGCTGAGATATATGGATCCAAGGTCGTTTTGGCTTTTTTTTTCTTTGGAGACACAAGAACTAGACACGCAAAGTCCATTTGGGACTATTGCTATGACTTAATATTTTGCTATAAGGCAATTCTATGTACCTAATCTACTTAAGTATAGCTGGTATGAATCTTAGGTCGTCACCTGACAGAAGGAACCGACGGGACTGCAAGGCGAATATCGCGGCGAGGAAATCGTTTGGTAAACGAGCCATTAGAGTTCAAAATATCGCGCTGCTAGTTAAGCATCCTGATGTCTTTACGAGAGGTGCATGATTATGCTACGCGCGGACTCGGCCATTGAATGCAAGCACCCGCGCTAGCGGCCGATCGGAAAAATCCCCAGGGATCTTCACTCGGGTTCACATGGAAAATCCGGGATACGAGTATCGGTACGGAGTACGCAATCTCCATACACGTAGAGTATAATCTACCAGTTTCTTACTTAAGTAATCCTCTGCCACAAATGTTACTCTATAAGCAGTTCAAAATATTTACTCCGTATCTTGAGTTAAGACAAGCCGCCTGTCCTCTTTCTAAATATGTCGCCCCCAAACGATCTGACAACATAGCAAGTCTCGCAGTGGGTCACGGTCGCCCGCCGAAATGATGCCCCACCGAAGACGCAGCCCCCAAGAGCACAGATCGCTTATGACTCTGCTGCCCCACCCGTCCTGCTAAGCACTCACTATTTGCAACCAAGCCGGAAAGTGGGACTGGATGATGGTGTAAACTTGGTTCTGGAACCGTCACTCCTTTCCCCTCGTGTACTTGAGTTTATGAACCACAGGTCCAGGTAAAGATTGCATGTTGATCGTTGGGAAAAACTACTGCACATAGTTTGGATCGCACTAAATAATGCTTGGTTCGTGGAGAACTATCGACCATGGCACCGGGTCAGGGGCTTACTTCTCCTCGTTTCTCCACTGCGGCTGATTCGATGCAGGGACACGAGCACTAGAACAGTGGCGTTACGGTATTGCGGACTTCAACGGGGTAAAATGATTTGGTTTCAAATGTGTAGAAAAACGGAGTGTGGTGAGTGGGTTTGGAAATGTAAATTGAATCATCAAGTTCATAGATTAAGAAATGTTGGGGTAGGTTTTGCCCGAGGAAATTAACAAAATAGGGTCAGATGGTATATACAAAGACAGTAGTATGAAAAGAAGGTAGAGAAAGAAAAGATAGACCGTCAAAAAGGCATCCACTCTAAGAGTGTCGACGTTCGTGCTCATGTTCCTGCTCGCGCTCGGCGTGCTCATCAGATTCATATGCAGAGACGGGCTCGTGCGAAATTTCAATCGTAGTTTCTTGATACACACCGCCAAAGTTGGACATTTCCATGTCATTTTTATTGACGATGTCATCGGTCGAGTCCTCGAACGGGCTGGTTGCCTTGACATCGACATGGTTTCCACTCTTTTGGAACCGGGAGCCGAGTCGGGATCCTTTGCTGCGGAATTTGCGCGGCTTAGAGCCGCCTTCAGTCGTGATGTTGGTTTGCCATTGTGAGTCGGTGTTGTTGTCGTAATTGTGGTCGGTGGTGCTATGTTCGGTGTCGAGCAGCAGATGACGGCGTGTCAATGTATACACCATCACATCGAAGAACCCAGACAGCGCCATCAGGCAACCAGCAACACCGAAGTATGTTTTGCTGGGCGCATCACCCCTTGCTGTGGCCATGCGACCAGCAGCAAGAGGGAGCGACAGGATCAGATACAGCAGTGGGTAGACAACCATGTAGATGACGACACGGTTGAGACGCTCCCAACTTTCTTGTTGGCCACGGCGGAGAATCTTCGCTTGATTCATACGCCGGCGGAGATAGAAGAACATAACGGCGTAGAGCGCAACGGTACCGAATTCGGAAATGAAAATCCAGATGTAATGGCCCCAGAGACGCTCGTTCTCATACTGGGGGCTCAGCCAGCACTATACAGTGCGGTTAGTTAGGCCATGACAACCACAGATGAGAGGAAGTATGACTTACCCAATTGGCCTCAGAAACCACAAACACTTTCTCACCATAGAGGCCGACGGGAATGAATCCCAGAGCCAGAATGAAGGCCCACAATCCAACGACACACCAAGAAAAAACACGGAATGAGAGTTGGCGACCACGCATAACGATTGCACCCGTGTGCAAGGCAATGGCCAGAACAAATAATCCACTGCCGGGATCAGCTGTCATGATCCACCATCCTTGCAGATAGCACGCCGCCTCCCCGTAGTGAACGCTACCCCGTGAGACCCAATAGAGACAAATCAGGAAAGCAATGGCTTGTTGTAAGTCGACAAGAAGTAAGTTGTAAATGAGGACGACGTATTGATTCTTCGCGAGTGGGTTTTTGTAGTAGCGTTGCCAGTATACGAATCGATAGGTCAAAAAGCAAAGTAGGAAAAGAGAGGACACCAAGGAGAGAAGGGCAATGACACCCATGGCAATAAAGAGCGACCGGTCGGACCCTAATAGAGGGACCTGTTCATGGAACTCCCATTTTCGACGGGCGAGGGAGGCGTTGTCCTCGAATGTAAGAGAGCGTAAAACGTGGAAAAGCATGGGGAAGAGGCCGCGATTGTCAGACAATCGTAAAGTGAGTGATAAAAACGAGGGGCGCCGACTGTATATAGAAATGTCTTTCGGGGCCCACGACCAAGGCGCTGGAGCCAACGGAGTACATAGCGGACATACTTCCCTGATGTTCTCCACCCAGGCCGTGCGAAAAGGCTTCGCAGTTCTTAGCAGTAGAGTTCCATGGTACACGATATAAACCAATCCACTAGTGTCGCTCCCAGGAGTACTCGTGGTTCATGTGGAGTTAATAACCGCCCGTGAAGAATTGTACGCGACCGAATTCTGCTCGTACGAGCATGCCGATGTACATAGGGTACGACTCGCGTGTTGCACGAATGGGCGCCATGCGTAAGACCCAGATTTCCAAATGGGGAGAATAACCGGTTACCGGTCTCTTGCACGTTCCACCCATGTCCAATCGTACGTCGTGCATTAGTCGAACGCTTCAGCTTTCGTAAAGCGGTGCTGATCGACGTCGTAGATTTGAGGTGGCTTCAGCCGCGTCTCTCGGTGCTCTGTGAGGACGGCGACTAATATGTTCGTGGTTAGTGGGTGGCGCTTCCATTGAAGAAGTGGATTTTTTGGCTCGTATTGGGGCCAATGTGTAGATCCACAATTGGCGATCGGGTGTTTGAGAATAATCAGATTGTACTCGTACACAATCATCCACATCGTGAATGGACCAGACTAACGTGGGGCTGGGATCGTGCAAAAGAAAAAAAAAATCAAGCCCCTGGACGATGTAGATCGAACAATCCATTGGATATTGAGTTTGATACTCCCTAAACGTGGAAAGCTCCGAAGTGATGACAGCACAAGCGAATTGAAAATCGCCCCAGATCTGCCACTGTGTGTACGGAGTACGGGTCAGCGAATTGCAATGGAGTCAATGGAAGTTAATGTGCACTCATTTTTGAGTGATGTCCGTGTTGACAACCCCACTCTCTGTTGGAGCAAGGTTAGTGTTAAGTTCATTGGACGGAGTACAAAGTACATGATTCAGGGATATCCCGGCGATCAGAAGAGTTCAAAGTTAAAGTCGATGAAATCCACGGGTACTTGTAGATAGGGTCAAGGAGATGAAGGTGTCCAAATTTCCAGACTTGGAGTGAGTATGAAATGACGACCACCTGGGCGGTTGATGGGATTCAATCCGGACGAGTCAAGTATTCTGGCTAATAGATCAATCAAAAGCCGCCCTCTTCAACAAATACGTCTCCGTGGCGCAATTGGTTAGCGCGTCTGACTGTTAATCAGGAGGTTGGAAGTTCGAGCCTTCCCGGGGACGTTTCTTTTTGCTTTTTAATTTTTTGCTCCGGTTAGTAACATCTGCTGTATATGTTAACTAGGACCAGGGTGTGTTTTGATTTTATTTGTGGTTTAATCCTTTGACCCCTCGTTCAAATCATCTTAATATTACATTGTGATTGAGGCTCCGATGAGATTATAATGGGGGCTGAGCCAATGCAACCCAGAATGCAGTCACCCAGCATACGAGTATATATTTAGGTACCCAGGTTAGGTACACCGTCCTCGAGAGAGCTACGGAATACACAATATACCGTAGCATCGCATCTCGCGTGAGCTGTGGATCGACTTCGCATCTAGTAACTTCGGCTGCAGATCATATCAAAATAGAAGCCAAGATATGCCATGTCTCACCCTCTGCATCGTTCATTCCCAGTCAACCCCACATTAACAGCCTGGTCCTATTGTACCGGTTTTGCGACTTGGCAGTAGCGGGAGTATCGGCTGATGGCGGATCAGAATGAAGGCTTCCGATTTGGATAGTGTCATCTGAGCATCTGAGACCTAAATGCAGTGAGGGCTATCAGGAAATAGATATCTTGGCTGGAGGCCTGCCCAACGAAGGTATATAAACCACGTCCGGGAGGATGTGGAATGTATCAATCCAAGCAAACATTCCACAACAATAAAACCACTCCTGAAATCCTTTCTTCCACCTCAAACATCTCCAAAATGAAGTCTGTCATCGCTTTCACCTCTGCCTTCCTGGCAACCCTCAACCTGGTCGCCGCTGCTCCCGCCCCGGCTGCAGCCCAGACCGTCTCTGTCTCCTTTGACCCCAAGTACGATATTGGCACATCTTCCTTGAGCACCGTCTCCTGCTCCGACGGCCCCAACGGCCTGCTGACAGCAGGCTTCACCGATTTTGCCTCTCTGCCCAGTTTCCCCCGAGTTGGCGGTGCCCCCACCGTCGAGGCCTGGAACAGCGAAAACTGCGGTGCATGCTACAAGCTCCATTACGCGAATGGCAAGGTCGACGAATCCATTACCGTTATTGCGGTCGATGCTGCCCCTGGTGGATTCAACATTGGAAAGCAGGCCATGGACCTGTTGACAAAGAACCAGGCGGAGCAGCTCGGCCGAGTTGACGCTACCTTTGAGCTGGTGGATGATAGCGAGTGCGGTCTGTAAGGATCGGAATGCATCTATGTGATTATGAAGGATTGAATTTGTATACGAAAGTCCTGATAATATGTTGAGAAAGTGAACCATTAATTACATTCAATTGAGCTCAAAAGATATGCCGGATCAGACCCTAGAGACAATTCGGCCACAAAGCGAATTTGAGACCTGTTTTTTCTTTTCTTTTCTTTTTTTTGCACCATCCATAGATGTTGCTACCTGCGCAAGGGGCATTACCTAGCTAAGCTCCCTGCTAGTCCATTTATTCCAAATGGCTGCACGGTATACGGAGTAGTCCGTAGTCAGCTTAGTAGTGTGTGAACCCCATTCCAAGGTCAGCCACAGGTTACTTAATTAGGCATGGTTTAATGCAAGGGGCCAGTCCGAACAGCTTCTTTGAAATAACTTTAGGATGTTGGAGCCATTCAAGTGGCTTAGATGCCACCTGCAATCATGGTGGATGATCGTAGCCCCATGCTGTGGAACTTTATGGTGACGGGTCGGTATGGTCTGGAAGACGATGGATCGATGGATTGTGAAGGCTGTTATGCGAGGCTGCTGGAGCACAGCAGTGACAGACACCAAAATTGTATTTTACAGATTGCTAGTGGAATATCGTACTTCCACCGATTATTTCGTGGAAGATGTCAGTATCCCACGTATCAAATTTGACTCGAGGCTTGCCTACGAGTTCACCACGCCTCTTTTCCTCGCGATCAATCCGCAACCAGTCCTCCCAGGAAGTCGGACGCAAGCCAAGGCGCTGGGCCTCGGCCTTCACACCTTCCCAGCCGAGCCCGCTGCTTTGACCAGGCCAATTAAGCAAAGACTTCGAATCGCCCACTTGTGCAAGATCCTGCACAACGCTGTCCGCGGTGGTGAATGCATCCGTCATCGTTGAAGCAATGACACCTGTTGGGCCCCGCTTCACCCAACCAGCGCAGTATAACCCGGGTAAATGGGAAATAAGAGATCCATCTGGCAAATTCTCAGGCTCGCCTTTGTTTGTGAGACTTGTGATACGACCGAAACCATCATTTGGAAGAATTCCGCGCTGGTTGTCAAAATCAATGCCGAGATCCTCGATCCCGGGAAGTGCAAGGGATTTGTAACCAACGCTACGGAAGAAAACACTGGCCGGGATATCGACTTGGGCCCGCTGGCCATTGGTCGAATTCTTGGGCAGAACCTTGGAGCTGGGACTGTGGGGATCTGAGGGGTCGAGTTCGTTACAGGAGAACTTTACATGGGAGATATGGTCCGGGTGTTCGGCCGACCCGTGGAGAGAGTCGGGTGCAAGCAAGAAATCCAATGACCATGATTTTGGAGATGTCTTCGGGTCATTGCTTGATCCTTTGCTTAGGAGCTGCATGATACGCTTTTGCGCCCGGGGCAATGCCGAGATCACACTGTCTGGCGGGAAGACACCCTCTGGGATTTGGTCAAATGAGACCCCCGGAAGCTGAAGCATCTCGCGTAGTTCTTTAATTGTGAATGCAGCCTGTGTGAAATCCATTAGTGACTGTGAATCCTGACCAGTCTGGTGCAAAGTACCTGCAGGGGTCCACGACGACCAACAACGTGCACCCGTTTGATGCGGCTTTGAGCAAGCTTCTCTATAGCGTGTTCCGAAATATCAGTCTTTGAAAGAGCACTGACGTCAGAAAGAAGAATTCGAGCAACATCGAGGGCAACGTTGCCTTGTCCGACAATCACAGCAGTCTCCCCGCTCAGGTCCGGGCCAAGGTTCCTGTGCTCAGGGTGGCCATTGTACCACCCAACAAAGGCACGCGCTGCGTGCACATTTTCCAGAGTCTCCTCGCCTGGAATTCCGAGTTCCTTATCCTTTGTGGCACCATATGCGAATAAGATGGCGTCGTAGTGGGGTTTGAGTGCGGCGAGCGGCAGGTCGTTTCCGACGTCAACATTTCCAACAAAATTGAGGTTCAACGACGAAGCAACCTCCATAAACTTGTCTTCACAGTTCTAGTTTCAGATGTCCATTAGCTTGACAGCTCAATAGTTGATAGTGTAACTCCACGGCCGATCATGACTCACCTTAACCTCGGGATGATCCGGGGCGACACCGTATCTTGATAATCCAAATGGAACGGGCAGTTTCTCGTACATATCAATCAGCGTATCCTGGCGTTTCGACAGCAGGCGATAGGCAGAATAGAACCCAGCTGGACCGGAGCCAATAATGGCAACACGAGGTGGTCGATCGCTTTGCGCGACATGGCTGTTGAAACGTTTAGAGGAGCATTGAGTGGCAAGACACTTTGGACGCAAAGCTGGTCTATGAGAGAGCTGCACAGTGCATTGCGCACGTACAACAAGCTGATGCGAGCGCATTGTGCATGGTCGTAAAGATTGCGGAGATGATCGGAGATGATCAGATAGTACACGTGACCCGTTATCAGTGGTTGCCGTGACAACAATCTTGTTTTCTCCAGGCGCTCACCCAGACACGCCCTAGACTGCTGAGCTGACAGTCGCATTCCAGCATCATCCAACATTCCTCTCCTTTGCTTCGCGTGGATGCCACGATCCTTCAGTCGCTACAATGGGGACCTCGTCACCTCCATTCCTTTATGATCGCCCGGCCGATTACAGCTTCAAGGGCCCGACCGATCGCGGGTTCAACCCGAGAGCCGCCACCGAGGCAAGCTGGTCCCAACCAGCCGAGAAGCCCAAACCGAAAGGGCCTCTGGTGAATTTCAATCGTCACCCCGATACGGTATGCTAGAAGATGCGGATATAGTGGATTTTGGCTAACGGTGGGTGCAGTGGGGTTCTTTTAATACGGCCACATCATTTACGCCGATGAACCCAAGAACCAAGGATCGGGTCAAATACGCACGGACAGCCCAATTGGTTCTTCGCGTGATCACTCTTTTGGGTGCCCTTGGCTCTTTGTTCTGCTCCATTGTTATCAAAGGAGCTGCTGCGACTATCATTTGGATCATTCGTGCCGGCGTGAGTCAACACTGGCGTAGCAATGCTGGAATTCCGCTAACCTTTGCTTCAGCCAATTGTTGCGATCCTCCACACGATTTATGGAATTGTACACAACTCTCGATCTGTTGTCAACCGGCCCGCCGGCTCTCAAGCTAGCTATGGTGTGTTTGCATCGACCCTGGACTTTGGACTGGTCCCCTTCTATGTCTTCACCGCATACATTGCGTATGAAGAGTGGACATCCAATGCATACAAGTGGGGGACTCTTTTCAACAACAGCGACATCACACCCACAATTGCCGAAACCACTTTCATCCTGGCCCTCGCAAATGGCGCTTTCCACCTTGTGTCTCTCGCCATTTCTATCTTCCTGGCTGTAACCTTCCGCAAAATCACCCGATTGCCGCCTGACATGAACCCGCTTGAGGACAACCTGACTGCACGCCCGCGTAAGAGTCGTAAGGAGGCTGACGCGGATGAGAAGCATCTTAGCCAGTCCACTATGGGGTCTTCTTTCGAGGACCCACTCATTGGATCTCCGCGTAGCGTGCCATTCTTGCATACACGTGAACAATCTCTCGGTGACTCTAACCGCGGGTCAATGACTATGGCGGAGGAGCAGCGGCAATCGTATCCCCCAGTCCTTCACCACCGCCTATCCCACTTGGAATCTCCCACAGAACCTTCAAGCCCGGAGATGCTCTTCCACCACCCTGCAAGTCAGCCGTTTGATCTCACATCGACATCTCCAACTCCCACCCCGGAATACAGAAAGGTTGCCTCCCACGCCCCGGAGATTATCAATGCCACGGCTCAAATGCGCCACCTGTCCTCTCGCACTGCCGACCGATCGGATACCGTCAGCCCTTTGTCTGATAATTGGGTTGCATACTCGGAACGATCAATGTCGCCGGACGCGCAGAATATGAATGAAAACACACTCCGCCAGTCTTCTTCGGTTTACAGCCGCCAGACCGAGAAAACTTCAACCTCGACCGGCAGCGGCCTTCGGGATTGGTTTGCATATGGATCTAAGCCTACGCCCAGCATTGGAAGTGCTATCCCCGAGGATGTTCGTGGAGAATATGCGTCACTCGCTATGCACGAGTATTACGGTGTTGATGACCATGATTACGAGCAAGATGTTGGCGACCAGCGCATGGATATTTTCCCAGACCCGGAAGAGCACAACGATGACTTCGTTGAAGACCGTGATGACTCTATCCCATTCAACCCCCTTATGCTTAACCCACCCACCCCTCAACCCATTTTGTCCGAAATCTCAGAGAACACCGACCCTGTTCGACGTGTCGCTTTGAGTGACCATCCCAATCTTTCATATAACGAAAACACCCAGCCCGTCTCCGTTCCACACGAAAGCCCTAATCCTTCTTCACCTAAGAGTCGCTTCTATGGTGAGCTGGATGTGGATGGCAAGCCTGGGCTCGGGCTGGACCGGGAACCGAGTGTTCAGCTGGCTCGCAAACCCACCAAGTTGACAAAGAAGCAAAGCAAGAAGATGTCTGCCTATGCTGCTCTCAAGAAGGACGACAGTGGCGATGAAGCTGGATACCTCTCCCCTAAGATCCCCACCTCGCCTCGTGCCATCGAGGGTGACCGCAAGGGCCGCGTTGTGAGTAACACCGGTGCCGACACCGCTAGACCTAGTGTCGCCGCTGGTGTTGGGGCCTCCTTGTCCTCGTACGGAAGCTACATTGCTGGTCTAGGCGTTGGCCGTCGCCGTGATGTGAGTGGAAAGGTTGCCGAAGAAGGACGCAGTGCACCGGTCGTCGAAGAGTTGGTCCAGAACCCAACCCCAACCCCCTCGCCCACTCGTGCAGCAGGATGGGCGCGCTTTGCTGGACTATAAGGGTGGCCTTTAATCTCATTTAACATCTGGAGTTTGATGGTTTGTATTCATGAATGGCATGTAGCGATCTTTTTGTTTGTTTCTGACTGGGATATGGTTACCCCGTTTCCATTCGGACTTTATGGAAATATGTATGGATTGGAATTTGTGTATTATTCTTTTTTTAAAACTTTGTATGTAGTTGTGTATCTCAATTCCAAAGCTGAGCACTCCGCATGAAATTTTTCAGTCTCAACGCTAATGAACAAGTACTAGATAGTATAGTCTTCCAGGGCTGCCTGGCGATTTTTGGACATAGGAAAGTCCTCATTTTTGTTACCAAATCTCCTTCAATCTTCCGAACATACATAGACATCCATGGATCTATCTCGAGAGACTTGGGGGCTTCTGAGACGACCTGTGGACGAATAACGACTTATTGTCCCCTGCCCTGGAGGACTAAGTAAGTAAAGCCTGACACACTGAAGCATCTATCGACGACCCCCATTGCCTTGTTTGAAAGGGAGAGTTGAGCAACATAGTCAGAGCCTACGTTCTCCTTGCAAAGGGAGAAACAAAAGATCCGCTTATACTCAATACATCTATAGATTATAAATTGCGCCGCCCTCGCCCTCACCAGGAAAACAATCGATGGGCAAAGAGTCTACCGCATCAGGAAACTCAAGCCGCAGCTCCACCTAAAATCTTATCAATCAGTTGAGTCTAACACCAACTGGGCAGTTCACTCCGTATCACCGAAAGTTGGCCGCGCCTCCAGGGCTTAATACTTAAATATAACCCCAAGCCTTGGAGCTGCTTTAAGAGTGTCACTGCAAAACCAAAATGCAGAAGAAATACTTCTGGACGATATGCGCAGGGCTCGCATGTGCAACGCAAGACGAGCCCGCAAACGCAAATCACATCTTCAACGCTATTCAATCAACCCTCAGACATTATGAAACAGCCCTCAATCCCTACGGCATGTCCTTCCACCTCGCCACGGCACCAAAGGGCACACGATTTTACCACGGAACGGGTACCCCGGACCCAATAACTGGGGTAGAATGGCTTGCCTTCAAGCCGCAGCACTCCCTCGGTTTCGCCCATCGCAGCGGCCGCAAGCAGAAGAGATCAGACACCCAGCAGCCGCTCAACAAAGCTGCGGATATTACCACTGAGTCTCCAGGACAAGCTGGGTATCTGCACACCTATGCCGCAGCTAAGGATCTCCGTCTCTTGTATATAGACGGTATGTCCGCAGGGCCAGGTGGTGCGCTCGAAGCTCAGGACCGGATCTTGTTCAACGATACAATTGACAGTCCATCCCTTGGTCCGCGTCCACCTGTTGGCGGCCCACCTGCCGAGAAAGAACGGGCGTTTCAAACATGTCGTATGGCGAAAGAGGTATGGGGGGATCGGATTGATGGAGTTGTGCGCACAGAGGGTGATTTCGAGATTCTTCTGTGTTCATTTGAGCGTGACATGGAGGTTGTGAGAATCACGCAGACAAAGAAACAGGATGGGCGAGGGATCAGGACTCGTTCTGAATCTGAACATTCGAAGGAGAAAGATAGGAGGCATGGAAAAGGTCGTGGTCCTGGTTCTCGTGAGCCTCGCGGTCCAGTAAGGGGTGATTGCTGTTCCATCGCCACTAAGTATGATCAGTCATTGGGACAAAAGGTTCGTTTGGACTTCGATCACTTTGTTTCGGCTTTCGGGTATGGCCTGGATCTGTTCCCTGATGGCTCCAGTCGCCCTGTCTTGCATCATATTCCAACTGAGCTGCTGGAACCCGTGAGGCGGGATATCAATTCCATGGTCAATACCTTGGAGCCCTCGTTAGATTCCTTTAATTGGCAGGCTATTGCTGATATGATTGTGTTCCGGTATTCGGAGGAGTTGAAGATTCTTGCTGCTGGAGACTTCAATTCTGTCGAGTCGATTCGTGGGAGGATCGAGGCGGTTCTGGAGCCTTTTATTGACTATAGGGAGTTCGGCGCGAGGGAGGATATCGTTGAACTGTGTCAAAATGAGTTTATTCCAGCTTCTGCACCCACCAAGTCGGTTGGTGGGCGTGTCATTTCTTCGGTTTCGAGGACCGTCTGCTCCACTTTGGTGTCGGGGTTGCTCGATGGGGAAGACCTCAATGACACGGTAGAAAGTTTCAAGCACCTGTTGAAGTATCTGAACTGGACTACATGGAAAGCCGAATGACTTCGCGGATATCAGCTAGTGCCTTGGAGAATAACACTCGCCATGTGGTGTCTATGAGAAATGATAGTCCAAGCCCTTGAGCTGTTGGGTCCATGTTACATGTAAATATTATCTACAATACAGTGCCTAAAACATAAAGCAAAGTGTTGTGAAGATTGATGGAGTTCACTTATTATGCCACTGTATATGTACATAGCCACTATGGTAGACTGAGTGGTTGGCGCCAGGAGGTCAAGCAACCCACGCATAAAAGGGCACTGTTCAGAAATGCCAAGGGTAGCAGTCAAAGGTAGCAATCGCAATCAGGAGGCAATAAGCTGCCATAGAACCCAACAAGCTCTGGGGAGACAGGTGTGTCTGTATTAGCCCCCAAGAGGTTGACCGATTGCAAACAAGCGAAAGACTCGGCCGTCCAACACGCGGAGTAGGATGCCAAGGTTGTAAAATTGCAGGTGTTGCGGGGACTGAGGGATTTTCTGTGATTGTTCTCCGTCATGGTATTGAATCAATATCGTAGGATAGCGAACCAACAGGCAGACGTCTACGTCGCCAATCATGGCCCGGTAGTAATTCGACGGGCCGAAGTGAAGATGGTTTTTCAGTCTTTACCGTCTCGCGTCGACCCCACGGCAGGCGGGTCCGCGACCTCGGGACCCGCTTGCCCAACCGATACAGCTGTCGATGGTGCTTGCGAAATCGTCAATTCTCCAATTTGTCTCTCTATGAGGAATAGTCAGCGCGTGTGTCCTAGCCATTCCACTTCCGGGGGTGGAATTTTCTTTCAAATTACAGCGGGTGCGAAACAGGGTTGGCTTACCTAGTTCCCGAATCCGTTGCCGAAGCAGTAAGTTCTCTCGGCCTAGCGAGCTAGCCTCGGCCTGGTAAAACGCACTTTCGTCCCGACTTCCCCGCCGAGATAAGTTATCCCGCAACCCGGGGAACGGCTCCACGCCTTCTGGTCCTCGCGAGTCGAGGGGTCGCAAATTCGGTGAAGTCGCCTGGCTCTCAGATCGCGAGGGTCGGCGGTTTGAGAAAGACGACGAAATCGATAGCCTGTTCCCGGCTGGTGGTGGTGGTGGACCAGGGGGGAAGAATGCTGACCGCTCTGACGAAGGGGTGGTGTCGTCGATGGCCGCGGATGATTGCGGGTTCTGTTGCGGTTGATTCTGCTGATACTGATGAAGCTGTGCTTGCTGGCTGCGGATCATCTGCAAAAGACGATTCTATAATTCACCACGGTTAGCTTGGCATGCTCCTTCCGTTGCCAGATGGCTGCCAACTTACCACCTGTGCTTCTTGCTCTTGTTCAAGTTCTTGGTGTAACTCGCCCAGAGAGGGTGCCCGCTGGTGATGGGGGTCTGCTGTCGCAAAGACGGGGCTTCCTCCGTGACTGGATGGGCTTGCTGTACGGAATGCATGTCCGATGGAACTGCGATGGTCTACCGGGGCCTCGCTATTGGCCTGCATGTCATTCAGGTTTAAGTTGATGCCAGCAGCGGATCGACGTCGCTCAGACACCGACAGGCGGCCGATGCTTGAGCCGCGAGAAGGTCTGGGGGAAGCACTGGGATTTGCGGGTGGAACGTTGCCGGGTGTAGCGGCCATATTGCGAGCTTGAGCGGAGGATGAAATTGAGGACGAGCGAGATGGAGGAAGAGAGTTCAGGTCAGGCGACATCTTCAAGTGAACTTGATGGTGCAAGAAGATGATGATCAGAGCTCTGTCTGTGTACGTCAGACACCCTGCAGCTCGGGAGCCGCTGGATCCATTTCGCGGGGTCGGTCACATGACCCTTCTATGTGTGCCTCAGGTGTCTAAGTCTATTTCTGTCGACTGTAGTTACAGAGTACTCGTACAGGGGCACAAATGCCCTGGAAGGCTCTAGGGTGGATTCTGTCACACCAGTTTCGTACATAGGTGTTTTACGCTCCGAGATGACTGGCATGTACGGAAATACTGAATACAGAAAACCCCAACTCGGTCCCTCCGGAACATGGTCGAGGCCAAGAGTACCAGGGTCGAATGAGCCACTTGAAATCACCCCTGGTCAAAGGCGTGTCGGGTGGCGGTCAAACTGTTTACGTTTATGAAAGCAAGAACGGAGTACTCCGTACTCCGTAAGTAGATATTATAGTGAGTGATCGCCACAGTATCGCGTGGTCCTTGAGATACGATCTTGCCGATCAATTCAGCGCCATGTGCAGGAATGTAAGGCATCCGGGTCCGGGCTGCGGTTCTGGATGTTTCCGGATAACGTACAGGTTCCACTCTCGGCGATGGGAACTTCACAAAACCTTGTCTGGGCCTTTTTCCCACCGAAAGGGCCTAGGGTGTCGTACTGTATGTTGCAAATTGCAGCTCACAGACCGCATCAAGGTGCAAATGATCGTACCATCGCCACAGCAAGGGATGGCAATTTACTTCGTATTGCTGGCCTGATATAACAAACCCCAAACACTCTGCAGATCGAAGGATTGCAAAGGGGAAAAAAAGTCGCAAAAGATTGTCATAAATAAGCAATGTCAGAGACGATCCACCCTCCCTGGAAGGTAAGCGGAGTCCGAGCGGCAGTCAGAACAAGAGTCGGGGGGTCCCTGCCATGACGATCGCGAAACGCCACGGCCGTAATAAAGCGCGCCATGGGCAATGGTTTTGGCGCATTTAGCCGTAAGGCCAGGTCTTGGTCCTGTATGATCCACGAACACTCTAATGGGGCGTCAGCGGCCTGACGTCAGTTTACCAGGGCAAGCAAGTAATGAGCGATCTTGGCAATGTCTTGTTCCAGACTCTAGATATTGACCCTGACTCTCAACGAGGGGTTTGATAAGACCTGGAAATTTTTGCACAATATCTGGGGAAAGCCATGCGGCCGCACGGTCGACAATAATACCCCGACTCCTTACCTCGCGGGGCACCAAATGGCCCCTCAATCGTATCTCGTTTCAACGTCGACTCAACGTTGCAGAATACCAATAGGCATCCCGAAGCGGACATTGGCATCGGCCCAGAGCGGCATCTTCGGCCAAGATGTACGGGAAAAACCGTAGTCATCACTTTCTCCAGTCCCTGGGGGTGTGGGTCGTACCCCATTGCGGACTCGGCGAGTTGCCCATTCCGGAATCGGGCTCTCCAGGTCAACCCAGTCAAACGGACAATGTAGATAGTATCGCAACGTACCTTGTAGGCAATGAAATAATTGGGACGACGCTGAATATTCTTACCAAAGAGGACATCATAATGTGAGAGTCTGGGGAATTGACCGGGGATAAAAAGTGGAAAAGTGGGTATGCGTCACCCACGGGGTAACGATCAGAGCGAGTCGGCATCCCGCCGGATTACACCTTCAATACAATACAGTACCCTACTACCAAGTTAATTGACTAGGTTGAACCAGATACTGAGGTACCCTGTACTTAAAAGAGGTACGAAAAGTCTGGAGAAAAAAAAAACAGTAAAAAAAACCAGTCAACCCAGTGGATCCAGTAAAGTTTGGACTGCATTTGGCACTTGCCTTCCACCGTTTTCATATTTAATCCTCTTTTCTCCTGCTGTTTTTCTTTTTCTTCTTCCCGATCTTCATTCACCCCAGCCTTTGAGCTTTGTTTACCCCGGTTTTTGCCTTCACCATGGCCATCGATAAACATGGAAGGGACACTGTGCAGGCAGCCGAAGCTGCCCACGCCCAAGCTGTCGTCAATGCCGCTACCGAGAAGCTCGAAGAAGACCAATGTGAAGAGGCATCAGCCTCACCATCGGGACAGATCGAGCTCACTGAGGATATGTGCTATGACAAGCTGGGATACTCCTTCAGTGAAACCAAAAAGTGGACTATCATCACCGTGATCTTCCTGGTCCAGGTCTCGATGAACTTCAACACATCACTCTACTCTAACGCCCTCGGAGGTATATCCGAAGAATTCGGCGTCTCCATGCAAGCTGCACGATGTGGTGCGATGATTTTCTTGGTACTCTACGCCTTTGGATGTGAACTCTGGGCTCCGTGGAGTGAGGAGCTGGGTCGCAAGCCCATCCTCCAGGCTTCGCTGTTCCTCGTCAACGTCTTCCAACTCCCCGTGGCCTTGGCCCCCAATTTTGCCTCCATCATGGTCGGTCGTGCCCTTGGAGGTCTCTCGTCTGCCGGTGGCTCGGTCACCCTAGGTATGATCGCGGATATGTGGGAGCCCGATTCCCAGCAATACGCAGTTGCCGCTGTCGTGTTCTCCTCTGTCGGTGGATCCGTACTGGGCCCCGTTGTGGGCGGTTTCGTCGAGGCTTTCATCCCGGACTGGCGGTGGGCTATCTGGATCCAGCTGATCTTCGGTGGATTCGTTCAAATCCTCCACCTCATCCTGGTGCCAGAGACCAGAACCACGGTGATGATGGATCGTATCGCCAAAAAAATGCGCGAGTCCGGCGAGAACCCTCAGATCTATGGTCCCACCGAGGGCATGTCATTCCGCGAGCGCTTCCCACCTTCCGAGATCATGGCTACCTGGATTCGTCCCTTCAAGATGTTCCTCACCGAGCCTATTGTATTGGTGCTTTCTCTGCTGAGTGGTTTCAGTGATGCTCTGATTTTCATGTTCATCCAATCTCTTGCTCTGGTATATGATCAGTGGGGCTTCAACACCTGGGAGAAGGGTCTTGCCTTCATTCCTATCGTCATCGGTTACTTCATCGCTTGGTTCTCGTTTTTCCCAGTCATCAGACGCAACATCAAGGAGCGAAATGATCACCCAGAAAGTGAGCGTGCTCAGTATGAATCTCGCTTGTGGTGGTTACTCTACACTGCCCCCTGTCTGCCTATCGGCCTGATCGGCTTTGCCTGGACCAGTCTGCCCTCCACTCACTGGATTGGGTCTATGATCTTCGCTGCTCTCATTGGTATTGCCAACTACGCCATCTATATGGCAACCATTGATTATATGATCTGCGCCTACGGCCCTTACTCTGCCTCAGCCACCGGTGGCAACGGATGGTCTCGTGACTTCCTTGCTGGTGTGCTCACTATTCCGGCCACACCATTCTTTGAAAACATTGGTGGTGAGAGACATCTTGAATATGCCTCCACCATTCTCTTCTGTATTTCAGTCCCTCTGGTTGTTGCCGTCTATATCATTTACTGGAAGGGACCCGTGCTGCGCAAGCGCTCTCCTTTTGCCCAGCAGCTCGAGGATGCTCGTGTCCAGCTACACACCAACATCGACAGTCGACGTGGATCCAAGGTCCCCGAAGAGTCTCGTGCAAACTCCTGGGCCCGGTCCCAGCAAGACCTCCGCATCCGCCCCAATGCCAGCCGAGCCAACTCACGAGCCAATTCGCGAGTCAACTCACAAGCCAACTCGCGCGTCGCTTCACGTCGCAACAGTGCCGCCAATGCATAAGCGTATGGCTTCTGTGAATTATCAAATCCAGTGGAAAATGCAAGATCAAAGTCACAATCACCTGCATGGGAAATACTTTGATCATCTCTATCTCTTCTCTGTGCATGTTTTCGACCGCATAAGTTTACGCTGTGCGTGGCCAGTTTTCATTCCTGTTTCCGTGCTGGGAGGGCATTCTCCACTCTGTGGCTCTTGTGCATTGGAACCCATGGCATAAGCTCAAGTTGTTGTCTTTGTCGGGTGCGCGTTATTAAATTAATAGTCTTTCTTGTTTGCTTTCACGGTTCAACCAAAAGACTTTATGATCTGGAGGGGTGCTATGTACGCTATGAGCGCAGTTCAGACTCAGTGATACCAGATACGAATTATACCCTTACTATTTGCTTTTCTCGATTGATCCTGAACATCTGTAAAACTTGAGAATTACGCCTGTGCCGGTGGGAGTCAACACGAAGGCATCACGACACCACGAGCAGTGATCTACAGTGGAGATGGACGATCAGGGGCCCAGAGCTCCACGGTGATCTCAACTTCCATATGGCTTCTGTAGATCGTCATTAGACCCGACTCCGGGGACGCGGGAGGGAAGAGGTAGCATTCTTGCAGTGTATCTGCAGTGTATATTTCCGCTTTCGGATCGACTGAAATGCAGGCCAAACAAGCCGAGGACCAGTGGAATTCCATTGGCCCTGCGTAGAAATTGAAATGTTGTGGCTTCTCCAAGCAAAGACATCTGGTGATGTCTCGTTCCATTGGGTTTAGGTCACATTGTGGCTTGGGTTTGACTCGGAGACAACGCAGACTAGGTGCTTAGCGTTGAGGTTAATTCGATTGACGTTTTGAGTGTTACTGTTTGATATCGAACAATTGGATCGATTAAATTCCCAAGGTCTTGATCGAGTAATTGCGTGCTCGAGATAGTCTGGTGCATTTAGCATAGCTGCCCGGGGTCTGCGAGTGGTGACCCCGGAGTATACATCCATGGATCATACAGATACAACTAGCATTCCCACTCCGAACCGGGAATATGGATATATTTGAAACTCCAGTCAAGTCGGAACTAAAATCCCCATTGTAATAGAGCAAAATAAAACCAACCACCATAATAAAGACTATTAATATCCAGATCATCGCGATTGAAGTCTCAGCTACGTAAGGCGAGATGGCCCGTGCACCCAGCACCTCCACCAGACTCTCGAGGTCTCTGCCAACCATTGAACCATCCAGTCCAGAATGAACAGTCTCGCATCTCTTCGCCTCTGCGCGCGCCCACTCCGATCCATCACGCGCCCACTGCATTCTCCCGTGTTCCGCCCTAGGATGGCCTCCAGCTTCCAGTTCGCCGAGGGCGAAGATGTGCCGCAGCTTACCCGCGACGCGGAGACGCTCCTCGGACAGGGCTGGGCCCGGGACGGTGATGGCATGGGAATTACTAAGACGTTTCACTTTAAGAGCTATTTTAAGGCAGTGGTAAGTGGATGCAATGCGGGCTGCTGTGCGAAGCATGGAGCATGGATGAGACCAGGCTGACCATACTAGGCATTTGTCAATACTGTTGCAGCGGAGAGCGCGTCGAAGAAACATCATCCTACTATGACTGTGGTAAGTGTGGAGAAATGAGAGAAAGAGAGAAAGAGAGCAAGAGACGAAATGAGAACACGAAAAAAGAAGAAAAAAACGAAAATCAAAAAAAGAAATTAAGGCTGACGCCCCCATAGCGGATTGGCTCCGTCGATGTGCACTGGACGACCCATCGCCCGCGCGGATTCAGCCAGAAAGATGTGACGATGGCGCAGCATTGTGATCGAGGCGCTGGTCTGATGGGTGCAGTTGACCCTGACCAGGGAGCCAAGTGCGGATGAGATACTCGATATTTGCTATACTTGACGGTCTCGACGTTCTCGACCCTGAGATCGACCCCAGGATAAGATCGAAATAAGATCTCTCACAAAATTGAGCCCAGTTTCTTTGTTAAAAAAAAAGAATCAACTCTCAAAATGAAGCTAATTGCACCGGTAGATCTTCGTTTCCCCACTGGAACTAGTCTGGATGCGAATTCCCCTTGAAATCCTGCTTGGCCATTTTTTCCTTCTTTTTCCTTCTTTTTCCCTTTTCTTCTGAATACCTTCAACACCCCAATATGGGTATTCCTCTTTAAACGGCTACCCCTCGTGCGACCTGCGATGACGGCAAAACGGTGCTGCAGGCTCACGTTCCGACGATCTTAAACCTTGTCTCCGTCGCTCCTTTTTTTATCCTTTTCTTTCTTTCTTTTTTTGTTACAATATGAATGAAGTTCAGTCTTTTGGAGAGCGCAGAGGGCATAAGCTGGCGCCGTTGCAGACCAATTTTAGCCGACCAGCGACAAAGCCTCGTCTCCAACGCCCTCGACCGACCGAATATCCTAGCACCAATGGCTCCGAAGGCCCTATTCCGCTCCAAAGTCCAATTCGGCGACAATCCTCTAAATCAAGTCTGCGCAATTTATTCGGGCGCGATAAGTCGCGAGTAGAACCCAAACTAGACGAAATAGTCGAGGCTCAGGTACCAGAGCCGCAAACCGCGATATTTAACATGGCGCCTTCAATCACAACCCCCCGAACTATAGATTCAGCTCCAACCGTCACCTCCCCGACGGACCTGCGATCGCGCACGAAAAACTTCCGTCAAGACCGCCAGCCGGACCCCAAAATCCCCACACAGGATCAATATGGGTGGAAACCGCCCCCGTTGTTTCAGGCTTACCCTCAATCCGCCAAGCATGATACCCTGGCTGCACCCGCACTCTCGGCCGATGCAATCTTGCGCTTGCATGCGACAACTGCGCGAAACACCGAAGACACACCGGTGAATTCCTTGGAAGAAAATGAGACCGCTACCGCCGCTCGGAAGAAGCGCGAGCAAAAGCAACGAAAGCATCTTCGGACATTGTCCGGCACAATCAACAAGGTGGAATGGACACAAAAGATCTACGTTCTGGCCAATGTCGGGTATATTCTGCAATATGCAGGAGAAGGGAAGAATGACCGGCTACCAGAGAGGATGCTGCTGCTAGGCCCCAAGTCTGTCGCATTCGCTAGTGACGCGATCCCGGGCAAACACTGGGTACTGCAGATATCTACCAATCCCACGGCGGATGCAGATTCCAATGTGCCGGAGGCCCCCAAGCCTCGGTTTTCGCGCTTTGGCTTCCACAAGTCTAATCACCGTCGATTGTCGCGGAGCTTCTTGTTGGTTTTTGATAACCCCGAGGCCATGATTGGTTGGCTGGTCGCAGTCAGAGCCGAGATTGAGAGACGCGGAGGGCCCAAGCTCACTCAAGAGAAGCACTCCGACGAGGATACCATGCCTCAATTGCGATCCAAGTCCAGTATTCGTCAAATGGTGAAGAAGGACCCTCATCGGATCTCCAGCTTGTTCCTTCAGCCGCAAAACCTCCAGTCGCCCATCGAAGACGACGGGCAGTCTGTCGGTGGGGCAACATGGCAATCCCGGCGCAGCTCGTACACATCCGTTAATCGTCGTTCAGTGATAGAATCACGATCTGGGTCTGTCTCTACTGGCCGGACAGAGGCCACGAACCCCACCAATGGTTCTATCGCATCAGATGTGCGATCTTCGTCATTCACTTCTTCCAATGTCCCCAATTCACCGCCGACGAGTGACGGTGTATATAGATCTGATGAGCCTTTGCCCGACGAGCTTGATCGTATATTGGCGCGCAGTCCTTCTCCTTCTAGCCAGGGCAAGCGACAATCCTTCTTCACCTCCCCAGCAACGCAGCCTCCTCCAATTACGGATTTCACGGAAGCCCAGAGCTATCCACCTGCACCGGAAGCAATCGTCCGCTGCGCTTCACCGCCAGCACCAAATTTCAGTGTTCCTTCGTTCAGCAAGAAATTCGTTCCTCGAGGGGGACCCATTCCAACCCAGGCCTCTCCCCCTTCATCATTAAATGGCTTCGTGCGGCGGGGATCAGCCGATCCACAGGTGTCTACCTTTGCCTCTCCCCCGCAGTCTCCAACTTTCAGCATTGCCAGCTCGCGCTATACAGAGTCTTCCGAGCAAAGGCGTGTGCTGCGCCCTTCGAACTCGGAGGATGCGCTGGCCAAAGCCGCACGGTCTGCGCAGAACACTCCAAATTTCTCCCGTGTGCCCAGGACCGCACCGCCCACGAAGCCCTTACCAGATCCTCACGCTTCACGCCCCCTAAGTCTGCTCGGGCGTCCCGGTATGGCCTCTCAGACAATCAAAGAGAACGAGATTGAGTCTGCTGCAGCACCAGCACCAGAGCCATCGCGCAATAAGGGCCCAGCGACTGAATTTGATAATCAAGTTCCTAATATGCTGCGCCGCAAGAGCATGCCGGGCCTGGGTGTCACCATCGGTCCACCATCGGCACCACCTCCCAACTGCCCACTTCCCAAACTCCCCTGTCTCACCAATGCTTCGAGTGCTGCGCCTCCGGCCCCAGGCCCAGGCCCAGTCACAGTTGTCATTCCTGCTGCTGTCCCTGGTGCTGCCCCTGCTGCTGCCGCACCCGCAACTCCGGCCACCCCGGCCACTCCACAGGGACTTTCACCATGGTCTCCGACCTCCCCGACGGAGCGATTCTACGGGTCGCCGCCAGTGCGCGCCCATGTCGAAGATCGACGCACGAGTGGCACCAAGCCTGCCAACTCGGAATCTCAGCCAAAGCCTACACCGAGAACAGCCCGGCACTCCAAACTGGTCAAAGGGCCCCCTGTATAAACATCCCCATCAACGACCACACGACTGACATCTACGACCCCCAACTTGGCATTTTCCTCCAATATCCCCCACATCAATACCCCGAGATACATTCGCTATACTCTTTATACTAACCTTTTCTTCTTTTCTTGTGGTTATATCTGGCATTAGTATATCAAATACCCCTCGCATCCAATCTCTTGCATCGGGCTCGGTTAAACCCGTCTATACCTATTCTCATTGTTTCGGTTCGCATCTGGCATTTGACGGTTGGCATTTGCTCTTGTATATAAATACCCCGTTTTCCTAATATCTTACTCTTTCTTTATTTCTGGGTTTCTTGTCTGTGCATTTAAATTTTTCGCATCTCATACTTTCTCTAAGACTGTTATTTGGATGTCAACGTGTCGTCAATGGGATTGCATTGGTGGAGCCCAGTCTGTATCCATAGATTTCTACCAAACTGCCTTCTGTATCAATATATGCATGACCATTTCTCCCATGCCTGTAAACAAGTTGGATTGACATGAGATACTTGGTGTCGACGCGATCAGGTGCCAACGAGATGTCTGAGCAGAAGTTCGGACTTTTGGAATGACTTCAATTCATAAACAAATGCATGAACGCCAGATAACTATGGGAATAAAGCTCTCAAAGAGTATCTCAGAAATGGACTAGCCATGATCTGGGAAAACCTGCACGTTGAACCTATTTAAACACTACTCCTCGACTTCTTCCACCTGCGCGGTCAAATTCCGCCTCTCAGCCGCAGACGGGGTAGATGTAGGTTCGGCGGAGGATGTAGTTGCAGATGGGGCTGATGCAGGGGCGGATTTGATGGCGGAGGCAGACTCGGCCTTGGCCTTGGCCTTGCTGGACTTTTTGCTCTTCTTGGTCTAAAGCACTGTTAGTATCACCTTCTCGCCACAAGACTCGGTTTGAAGTTTGAAAAAAGAATTCATACCTCTTGCCAGCCCCACAGGGGCTTGAAACTGTCAAAGAATCCAACATCCTCGAACAAGTTGGGGAAGAGCCATAGACCGGGCGCAACGGTGAAGACGGTAACGCAGAATAAGATCAGACGGAAGATTGCCATGGCAAAGAACAGTCCCAGCAATCCCATCATACCAACACTGAGATACCACACTCCCTGGCGCAGCATCATGGGCCACAGCGGGAATAGGACAACAGCAAAGATACCCGCCACCACGGCCGCGGCCATCGCCTTCTGCTTCCACTGTGGTCCATCATATAGCCAGACGTAGTGCATCATCGGGTCGGTCTCCTGGTGCTGTTCAATCTTCACGGTCCAAAGGCCCTTGGTGCGGTTCTTGGGCTTAGCGTGGTTGTGCCCAGCATGCGGGTCGACCTTCGTAACTCGCAGAGCCAGAAGAGAAAGTGGGAGGAGCTTGAATACATTCTCCGCAGAGGCACGGTCGGTCACTGGGGGAAGGAGGGAGTTTTTCTTTGCGGCAGCTTTTGCGTAGGCAGGAGATTCAATGGCGCGGATTGCTCGTTTGACTTCATCACAGAAGAAAAAGAAAAAAGTTAGACTGACTGGATTCGAGTAGTTGGCCTAATTCGCTGCTCACCTTTGAACATATCCTTGCGCTGCCCGTCCATGATACATGTGCGTGGCTTCAGGTTCTGCGACCGCAGCCAGTTGGCCACGGCAATCGCCTTGGGATCAGGAGGGTTGTTAGGGTTCACAGGAACCTGCTGTGTGGTTTGGTGCTGGTGCTGTTGGGGTGCAGACTGTTGAGGTTGCTGTTGTCCCTCGGCTTGGGCTTGTTGTCCCTGTGCCTGAGCTTGTTGTTGTTGCTGGTGTGCTTGCATTGCTCGCGCCCGCAACTGCGCAACATATTGCTCGGTAGTAAGGCCGAGTTTGGCTGCATCGGCTGTGAGTTGCTCGCGTTGCTTTTCAGCAAATTGCTGGGGCGTCATCCCTCGTTTAGCGGCTTCTGCGGCGAACTGCTGCTGCATGGCCGCCATTTGCTGGGGACTGGGGCCGGGCGCGGCCATGGTGAAAAAAGATGATGATTTATTATGCGAGATAAAGGAGTGGAAGGGAAGGAAAATGGCGTTGGGAGGTGCAGTGGTGAAAGAAAGAAAGAGAAGTGGCCAGATTGACTCGGCTGATTTGCGCTCCGCCCTACCGACACGGACTTCTCCAGGATCACCGCTTTGCATCCATACGGGTTCACCATGCTCTCGTTTTAGTCTTGTTTCTTGGTGTCAACTCTCAATGTCGGCTACCTATGACTCTTCGGCTACCCTATTGAATGCTACATGGGTTGCTGTCTTGCTGGTAAGTCTTGCAGCCCGCCCCTCCTGGCCTGCGCTTATCGATTCAGAGTGAGCGCGATGTAGCCGGGCAGATCCCACTGAATTTCGTGACGAACCCTGCTGTATCTATATCGGCTGCCTGTTTTGGGAATGGGGTTTACGACAAAGAAGATGCTGTGCAATGCTTCTCCAATCTCCTCGCAATCGGATATCGGCGGCTCGTTGTCGATGTATACTGGTCTGTCACTCGTAGGAGCTGGTCATTTTGCCCGGTGAATGTTCCAGCCAAGTCCGACGTGACTGTCTCCAGCGAAACGTCTACTGTGAGCGCAACCTCGGAGACTTCCACTGTCACCACGGCCGAGACCACGACTACAGCTCTGAGTGCCGACCCGGCGACCATCACCGGATATGAAAATTCACACGGGGATACTCTCTATGAACTGGGACAGTATAGGTGCACTGACGATCTTGATCCATTTACACTGGCCGAAGTGCTCGTTGGATATTTCAAAGATACCAACTCCCAGTTGACCGTGTATACGTCATACCTGGTCCTGAATCTCCATGTCGCCGCAAGTGATGCCACGCCAGACGAACCAGCTCCTTCAATCACAGGAGATGACTTGCCCTCTGGGTCAGAACGAGTTGGATCTATGTTTGGAACAGCTCTAGGTGACTTCATCTACAGCCCCGTCCAGCTTGCGACAGACCGACGAAATCTCAATGATTCTTGGTATCGGGTTGAGCAGAGCTATATGCCGATTACCGAGTACTACACTATTCATGAAAATGAAGCGGGAGAACAGAGTACCCCGGATGGATGGCCATCATCGAAGTATATCCAATTAGCAAAACGTGATCGAGTGCTCATTGAATACGGCACTGTTGATCCACAGCTGGCGGATTATGACTTGACCGTTGATGAGAATGCAATCTTCCCTCCGGGATACCTATCAGCCACCTCAAAGGTCTCTGCGACCACCAATGGCACACTAACCTCAGGTTGTCTCTACAAACCAGGTGCTACGGATGTGGCTCAGGCAAACTCATCATGGGGTGTATCCAATTATGTACCGGTCCCTGCTGGCCTTTCCGTCGACGAGACCATGGGGTCAATATCCAACGCCATCATCGATATCACAGCTTGTGGTATGTCACCAACACTCAACACCACCCTGTTTGGGTCAACTGCCGATACTCAAATCGAGCACTATCGCAATGTTTCTCTGTCCTCTTCTTGGGCCTGGGCTATTGGCGAGCCACATGATGCAAACTTTGCCGGTGGTGACGGAGACCCCAAATATGACCGCTGTGCAATCATGGATTTAACACTGGAGGGTCATTGGCGGTCCACCAATTGCACAGAGCAGCGGCGGGCTGCCTGTCGAATCGGAAATTCGCCTTTCTCCTGGGTCCTTTCGGATACCTTTGCATATTTCTCTAATGTTTCCGATACCTGTCCGGAAGGATCAAGCTTCGCTGTTCCGCGCACCGGACTTGAAAACCAATATCTTTACCGCCATCTTCTCTCCTTGCCCGAGTCGAAAATCGACCCGGGCTCATCGAATGCTCTTCTCCGTGAGATATACGTGAATTTCAATTCCATTGATGTTACCTCCTGCTGGGTCTCAGGTGGCTATGGGGCTAGTTGTCCGTATGCCTCTGACCCACAGCAGCTCGAGCGGAAAACAGTGCTTGTCGCGGCGGTAGCTGGTATAATCATCGTTGTCATTGCTGCTTTGACTTTCTTTGTCAAGTGTAATGCCAATCGCCGGAACTCGAGACGGAGAAAGCGTGCCATTGACGGGTGGGAATACGAAGGTGTTCCCTCCTGAGATCTCATACAGCATAATGCTTCGGTCGTATTATGTTTTTGACTCTGCACATGCACGATGTCATTATTATACCCATTGTCTTTCTACTTTATTTGATACCCAATTGGCGCATCTTGTTGCATGCCTTTTATTACTGTTTTGTTTGTTTTAAAACAATTGATTCATTCAGATAAGAATCTCTCCTCAACCCTATGGACAAGCGAGGGAACTACCCAGCACAGTAGTAGCTATCTACTAGGTCTGGAGTGACTCAGAAGGATGATCTGGAGTAATAATCGAATTTGTATACAAGATAATGTAAATACAACACCCCCAACGGGAAGAGATTTAAGTCATCTATAAAGCGCTGGATAATCCAAAATGACGAAACAAACACGGGTATATGCAAGACACTACAGCTTGGGCTTTTCGGGCTGGGCAGCAAGGTCGGGCATGAGGAGGTCACGAAGCTCGGAGGCAGCCTCGTTGAGGTAGTGGCTCATGCGCTCAGCACCAAGACGCTTGCAGACGATGTTGAAGTTGAGACTGAAAGAAATAAAATTAGCAAAGAGGCATGAGGATAGGCTGCATGAGGAGACCTACCTGTTCTCATTGATCATATACGCGATTCCGAATCCGTCGTCAATAACTTGACTCCACCCGTATCCGTTGAAGAACTCGGAGCTCAGTTGGGAAGTGGACAGGTACCAGGATGAAGAGTAGACGAAGGCGGGATCCTTGTAGATCTCTGGCAGTTGCTCGCCGGGCTGGAGGAGCTTCTTGAGACCGAAGAGGTGGCGGTCGACACCGTGGCCGGAACTGGCTTCTTGGGTGTACTTAGTGTGCTGGGCGAGGGCGGCACGGAAGAGCTTGACGACCTCCTCACGCGGGGTGGTGTGGTCCTGGTGGGCCTTGCAGAAGGCGACGCTCTCGTCGGAGACGGAACGGGTGGTTTCTGTGCGGCCTTCGGCATACTTGCGGGTTGAGGCGGACTCGTAGGTAGGGCGGTTCTTGCCGTACATCTTGAAGTAGGCGAGCTGGATGGTCATTTGGACGAAAGCATCGGGGCTGCACTTGAACTTCTTGATCAGTCCCTTACCATAGCCCTGGTAGGCTTGGACGACGAGCTCATGGGAGGCAATCTGCTTGCGGTGGTATTGGGCCGCGATATCAATGGCCTCGTTCGAGGCATCGTTCAGCTTAAAGTTGATGGGCTTAGGGTCGGCGAGTTGGGAGCGGATGGACTTGGCAGAGAGGTCGATTTTCTTGTTGAAGATGAGGTTATTGACGTGGTCGTTCAGACGGTGGGTGGGGGTTCCATCCATCATGCTGTGTTCGCCCATGAAACCAGCGGAGCCATTGTCGTTAACAATGAACTGAAGAGGCTTGTCGAACCAGCGGTTGGAGCCATCACCGTGCCAGTACTGCTCTGCGCGCTCTGCGAGCGTGACGGGCTTGGCATCGTCCAGGCAGATCACGAAGCCAGCAGACTCAATGTCCTGCAGGGCCAGCTCGTTGGCGGCATCAGCAGCAACGATGGTCTTGCGGGCAGCAGTCCAGTGATCACGGTCAGCAACAGTCAAAACACCAACCGGTGGTGCGGGCTGTGCGATCTCGTAGATGCGCTTGAATTGCTGCTCCAGCTCAGAGACGTTGAGCTGCTGGCCATCCACGATGAGAGGCACCTTGAAGAACTGGTTCTTGCGCACAACTACGATGTGCTGGTTCTCAGCGGCAGAGTACTTGCGTGGGAAATCCTCGCCATCGGCGGGGATACGGCAGCAGTTGAACATGTACTGGTATGAGCTCATGGCCTGGGGCTCCTTGCGAAGGTATTCTGGCTCTAGGGAGCCATCATCAACCTGTGCCTTGAACTCAAGGGCGGCAGTAGTAATAGCAGCTGCGCGCTTGGCTGGGTCGCGACGCTCACGGTCGTCCCGGTATGAATAGAAGTAGGAGACGTAGGGAATGACGGGGTCACGGTAGCCGAGGTAGGCGGCCTGGTTCCACCACTCGGCGAGCCAGTTCTTAATCTTGGGATCGGCAGCGCGCGCCTCGAGGCGCTTCTGCAGAGACTCACCCTGGCCACCAGGGCGGATGAAAGCCTCCACGGCGCTCTTGGTGTGTGCATACTCGGCCTCCGAGACAACTGCGTGCACGGACTTCAAGTATCGGCGGCTGGTCTCTTCCAGGCTGGGGACAGGGAGTTGAGGGAGAGAGTCTTCGAATCGGAGCATCTTGCCCTTAGAGATATCCTCCTTGTATCCTGCGATTCAGTTAGCTCTGGTTTTCGTGTTCGAGCTAGGGATGACCGCTGGGCAAACGCATGGGACACTCACCCTCAGGAACGGAAGATGCTGTTCGGCGAGAAGCCATTGTGAGAGACTGTATATGTGTTAATTGACTGTCCAGATGATTTCACTATGTAGGCAGTTGCTGGTTCCGAACGGAGAGGGCCGTCTTACCGAGCGGGCGAGGAGAGAGTTCGTTGGAGGGAGCCGGTGCCGGGGAAGGGTGGAGAGACGGCTTCGAGCAGAAGCAGTGAACATCCCTGTGTATGTGAAAAGCGATTTGGGTATAAGTCAGAAGAAGTTGTCAAATGGACGAAGCTCGAGGACATTAAGAAGGGGAGACCGAAAGAGCCTCGGCTGGCGGGGAAGCCGGTAAAACGCGGTACCGGCTGGCCTCAGGTCGGTCCCGTCCGAGCTGCTATTCCCACGGGGAACCGGCCGTAAATGGGAATATGTGCTGGCGGCTTTCTTTCTCTTTGCTCTATACTTAAGTGATTCTGGTTGTTCTAAAGTTGTACTACAGCTCGCCATATGTCTATGCTGGCCTTGGAAGGGTTCTTCTGTAACGGTGTAATAAATACGGAAATACCAATACATACTCCACACATGTGCCTCGGTCCATCAATCGGTCATATGCTGTGGATTTAGGCATCTGATAATATGAGACACATGATATACAGGATCTACATTAGATAAGAAATAGAGGTACAGTATCTAGGATGTACGGAGGTGAGTGTACAGAATACGAGAACACCAGAATTCAGGCCGGAAAAAGGGATTGCCAGCTACGGGGCGATCTATGGCGGTATGCGGGGAGAGCTAGCGTTAAAGTGAGGGGGACCACGCTTAACGTTATTTGTATGGAGTACAACTCTAACAGAACGAGGATTCCAGTAGTTCGGGTGTGAGATTATGTATATGTGAGAAAATATCAAAAGCATGCCTTTCGCCCGGTCCCGTTGGTCCGATTGCTTCGATAGGACGAGAGGGAAAGGTCAGACCAGCGCCACCATATCCAAAGTACACCAGCTCACAGGTAAAAGAGAAAAAAAAAAAAATAAGAGGAAATATCAAATCATGTAGTAGAATCGATGCCAGCGTGTGTACGTCTGCCGCATGCAATCAAGAGACGAGCTGCACTGCAGTCGCCTGATCCCGGCCCTCGATAGGACGAGGGACCTGTACGCCAGTACGGCGCAGCTCGTCCATCTTCGCCATGGCAGGTCCAGTGCATATGCGACCGGTTTGCATCAGGGTTCGAAGACGTTTGCGACGAGCCTCACCGCCACGCTCCTCGCCACGGCCAACGCCCTCATCGACCCAGTCCACGGCGTGGACCTTGAAGCTCATGCCATCGTGACGGCCGTCCCATTTGCGGGACTTGAGGCCAAACAGGAGAGTTGAATCGTACTGTTTCACACGAGGGAGAACAAGCAAAGTGATGTGCAAATCCTTGTCTGCTGGGGGTACTGGGGGAATACGTGGAGCCTTGGCCTCGGCTTCGGACTTTTCGCCTTCGGCGTCGGTCGGGGGCGGCGCGTGCTGATATGTGTCCTTGATCTCAAGATCAAGCATTGACTCATCGACATCGTCGCCCCAGGCGCCACGTATAAAGCCAGAGTGGATAGCGGCAGCAACGGGGTCTGAATCGTCGGTATAGACGCCTGTGCCCCAGATTGCGCGCCGTGCGCAAATCTCCTCCCGATGGGATTGATTGATGCGCCAGCGGGGAACTCGGACGGTGAAAGTGCAGTTCTCTCTCTGTTCAAAGCGTGGCAGAGGCTGAGGGGTTGTTGTATATCCAAACTTGGAGCTGTCTAAAGAGGATTTGGCCGTAGGAGCCCCAACACGGGGTGTGTAGAGGGTGGAACCAAGGTGATGACGAGGTAAATGCGAGACGCTGGATAGTATTGGCTCGATGTTGACTGTCGTACGAGGCTCGCGGATGGGTGATGCAGCCGGGATGGTGGCTTGTCGAGGGACATGGTGATGGTGATGGTGGTGATGGTGATGATGTCCGGCGGTAGGATCGGCCGGAGAAGTTCGGTGGAAGTTGGTAGGACGATGAAGAGAGCTTAGTGTGACGGCCTCTTCGTCTGCCTTATGGCGATGATGGTGGTGACTAGATACGAGTTAGCATTCCGATTTGCACTGGAAGATTGAGTAAAACGTACTGGTGGTGATGGTGGTGGGCATGGCGGGAGCGACGTGCATTACGTGCTGATAATACGCCTCGAGGATCCTCGATCTCCATCTGTTCCTCATCTCGTGATTTCCTTGATCTTCGACCAGAGGCAGAGGAAGGTCGAGCAATCCGCGCCGCTTCATCCATCGGATCACCGTTGATCGAGCGGCCGGTCAGGCTATCGCGTTTGAAAGGACTAGACCCCAGTGGTGTCGATTGCCCGCTGCCACCAGTAGTCGCACCCACGCCACCCACGCCACTTCCAATGCCCGAAAATACGCGACCAAGTTCATTTTTGATTGCCGTCTCACCAGCAGGGCCTATGAACGGAGCCTGGGCACCTTGAACGGCCTGGGGAAGAGGAGATGCACGACCTCCTCGTTTTCCATCAGCACCTACAGCCAGAAGGTTGCGATGATGAAGCAGCTCGTCGCTGCCCTTGCGGCGTCCCTCGTCGGCTAGGGCGGCTAGACTCGTCGACGCAGCAACGGTGGAAGCGGTTATAGTGGGCGTGGCACCGAGACGTGGAAACTGAGTGTGCTGTCTGTTATATGGATCATGAGGCGGGGGAGTGGGCTGGTTGTTTCGAGAGTGCAAAGAGCCGGGCTGTCTGTTCCCGCCAGGCTGTGACCCTAGTGATTTTGTGTAGCTCTGTATGGCACCAAAACCAAAAGCCGGGCTGTGGTCCGGTGCGTGATAACGTTTATTCTCTGGCGAAGGGGGGTATGAGCGACCGTGGTCCCAAGCTGACCCGCTCTGGTGACGGTCAAGTGGCTCACGGTCGCTATAGTGCGAGCCATGTCGGAATGATCCAGGCTGGGATGGCTTGGTTTCCGGCGCATGGACTGAAGCACGCTCTCGATCCCGCTGCGCAGTCTCCTCCGAGCGACGCTCACCAAATATGTTTCCAAACCGACCGTGTTGTTGTGGGTCAGCAGCTCCGTACGACCCAGACGTAGAGCGTGGGCCAGGCTCAAGCGCACGTTCTGCAGCAACACCACCGGGTTGGGAGATTGGGCTGTATCCTGGTGGACGCGTGGATGCATCTGCCTGGGGTGGTTGACTGCTGGGCCGAGCGATCGGCCCATTTAAACTCATGCGACGAGGCTCTGTGTAGGGCGTGTCTGCCGTGGAAATTCGAGGCGAGGGATGTGTTGAATGTGGTTTTTCAGGATACTGGGATAATGAAGAGCGTGTCAAGCCCCCAAAAACCGACTGTTCGGCGCCCACCAAACTAGAGCCACCACCAGATCCAGATCGATACGCGCGGGCACCTTGTGGCCTTGAGAATGATTTTTCCGGTGTTTGCGAACGGCGAAATAACGAATTCTCGAGTGACGATGGTCTCGCCGGGGCCGTTGGTGGGGACATCGCGGCGGAAGAAGATGAGGGTGGTGCATTGCTGAATATCGATGCCGCGGATGGTCGCGAGAAGAATGGCCCTGATTCACGCACGGGTTCTCGCGCAGTCCGCTCCGGCTCGGAGCCAAGCATGGCAGAAATCGACATGCTACTACCGGGTCGGTGCGCCTGGCTACTGGGAGCCTCGCGCGACATCAGGGGCCCTCCAGGTGTGTGGTTGGATTGGGCAGATTGGGCTCGCGAGGAATAAGAGTGGGGAGGGGAGGGAGGTGGCATTTGACGAATACCAAAAGATGGAGGGGCCGACTGTTCGTGATGACCTATCGAGTGGGTTTGTGTTAACATGTACTGCAAGAGAAAAAAATCCCTAGATGACCGCGCATGCCCGATCGGCTTGGGTGACGAAATGTATCGCGACACGGGAGGTTGCACGGGGCTCTCGGGCGCAGGTCGGTGCTCACCAGTGAATCCAGGACTGCCACTGCTGCCCTGAGAGGTACGACGTGTCGTATCTTGAGGCGTATGGTTCATCACGGAAGCATCCAAAAGCCCGACTGTGACGAGTAAGCAAATGAAAGATGGGAAATGCAAGGGCCAGATCGAGGAGAACCCGTGACTCCGGGAGCTCACACGCTAGTCTCAAAGGGGCAGGGGCTCCTCTGGACACGCTAAGCCTGACCTGGACTAGCGCTCCCGAGTTGGAGCTGTCGTCCAGTCGATCTGCGCCACCGGGGAAAATCCATCAGGGGAGATGGGCTCAGGTGCTGGGTGAAGGGGAGTACGAAGCAGAAGGGGTCTGGATTGGATGGTCGCTGAGTTTGGCTTTTGATGCGCAAATCCTCGTCCCAAGGTCCACAGAGGCCAGTGATGGCACATCTTCGATCTTTGGAAATCGCGTGAATCTGGGGCATCGGAACCGATGGGCCACGCGACATGAAACAGAAATTAAAACAAACAAACAACTGACCTTCGCGATACCTGATAGCTTGAGGCTGTGAATTATTTCGGCGGTGTGTCTGAACGTGATTCCGGGACTCCAGACTTCCGTGTCGACGATGTGTCTGGCCTTGTCTTGAAGGAATATATGCGCCGAGGGTATCGCCACGAAGGGTCGCGAGAGACCCCCGGGTCGCGGTAGATTGATAAATTTGCGATGGGGAGGGAGTAGAATTTGCAGAAGGGTACGCTCGAGGCTTTTCGGAATCGGGTCGACCGCGAGACTCAGGCGCAACGAACTGCCGATCGACGCGAGGTTCTGAAGTCCCTAGAGGCGAAGGCCGGGGCGGATACGAGTGTTGGAGGCGTCGATAATCCATCCCAGATATCCAAGGCGTTGGGCAGCGATTGGGGGATTAGGGGAAGGGGAATAAAGTAAAACAATAGAAAGATAAGATCCAGATAAATATTGTAGAGCAAAAACGAAATAGAATGGCGGTGGAAATTTATGCAAGAGCAGAAAAGGGCCAGAGCAGAGGTGCAGGATCGGCTGATCGCGCGACTCAGGCCCCGTAGCAGATAGCGCTCACGGGTCGGGAAAGGGAACGTGCAGGAGAATCTGAAAGAGAAGAAGTTGGGCAGTGTTTGGGGGAAAGAAAAAAACGGTGAGCGATGACGGTGTTTTAGCGCGATGGGGCGAGCCAAGACTATCGTGCATGCGGGGGCAAGTATATACTCTCTCCTATCTATAGATGTTGTTACAGTCCCAAGGCCAGCATCGAATTCGAAATTGCCCCCTGCCTCATGTTCAACCTCGGGATGCCCATGCGCCTTTGACGAATGGAGCTTGCGTGTTGTGCTACCTGTTCCTTGTGTACAAGGATGTGTACTAAGAAGCCCCATTTAAAACGTGCATATGCAGGACATGTAGGAAATTTACCCTAGATCTATGGATTAACATTCGGGTACAAATTTGCCAGCAATTAGGCTATGCCCAGGTGGATTTTAAGCCCTATTTAAGTATCTTCCATGCACTGATCAATGCGGAGAATTTTATGATGCCATGCTTGTATATTTGGGGAATTTTAGAAACGTTGACGCTATTATTCGCCAGTATACATTGCTTTTGCTATTAATTGTGATAGTTGTTCTCTCTATGAAATTGAAAAATTTCAAGAATGCAGCACATAATTCTCCATAGATTTACGGGGGGGGGGGGGGAAGCTCATTGTTAGGCTCCGTCCCATTTAATCACGGGCACGAACATGGAATAGTCAACATGATAGCCGCGACAACCCCTCTCTTTAATTCTCTATCTCTTGGCACCTCGGTATCAAATGAAACCTGAATCGCATGTTCCACCCTCTCTTTGGTTCTATCATCCCAAGTCAAGAGTCATACTTAAGTAGTCAACTCCAGGGAAAACCTGCTATAAGGTCAGGCTAAAACAGAGTAAAGAGCTGAACACTGCTCAAAAATACCGACATCGTACCCACAACAGAACCGAGTGTCGTTGAATTCTGATCTGAGGAAATTTTCATTCAAGAAGAACCTTGGAATTAACTCTTCGCGGAAAGCTTCTGTAAACTTTAAAACAGAAGACTTGTACTCGGATTGAGTTGGCCTCTCTTTGGGGATTATGACTGCCTTTCAATCTATCTTATAATTGAGCAAAACCAGTTGATATGCAGATTGGCCATTAAACTACAAGCCTCAAGAAGTAAGCAGTTCTGATAGCTTCGACAACTCGTGGACTAGGTCGACGATTCTTTGATAACGGAGATGGCTTGGCTTCTAAAGTTTTGTTGACTTGAGAACCACCTGCCCAGATGGGCACCTTCTTCTACCTCATTGCAACCTTAGAAGGCTACCATCTACAGGTATTTATGGTTGACGGGCTATCTTGCCTGACAAAGATATCTTACTGTTGGTCTAGAAAAAGGATCATGGCAAAACCCATGTATCACCATCATTCCAAGATTAGCGCCTGATGTCTGCCACCTGATATTTTCTCGAATCTGTTTAAATGGAGAGTGTACTACTAAATACAACATTCGATGGCACAAGCTGTTTGTTACAACTTGGAACGGGGCAGCCAGCTGATACTTACCTAGGCAAACAAACAAACGTAGGTATACAAATGTACATATTGCATGCAAGACCTTCAATAAATACAACCACTGTTCTTGATTCGGCAGAACCTCCCTTTTTTGCCATTTAAAAAATATCAATTACAAGCCGGATCGTTGGAAACAAACGAACGTTCCGTAATTCCTGTTGAACTTGGAATCGAACCCTTGATTTCGTAAGATCACTACGGCGAAAGATGCAAGCGACGCTTCCACTTCATTCCACTCTTGGTCATCGCACGCTGAGTACGCTCAAGCGGGTAGTTGACCGGGGATTCACCTCCAGTGAAGATGAAGAAGTCATACAAGAAAGCGCCCATGAAGCCACCACTGAGCGCACCAGCCCAAGGTCCATAGAACCAGTATGGATCGGTGAACAAAGTACTCGGGAATCCAACAGCAAGCAGCGCAAGACGAGGACCGAAGTCACGACTTGGGTTAAAAGCTGCGCCAGTCTGGTAGGCAAAGCACATACTCAGACAGGTGATTACCAATCCGATGATGAGCGAGTTCATACCGGCACCAGGGGGGGCGTTCTGGTCATCACCCAGAGCCAAAACCGTCACGATCAAGAAGGCCGTGCCCATGAACTCGTTGAAGAATGCTGTTCCGGCATCGACCCACGTTTCGCGCGCATTCGTCACAAAACTGTTGATGACACCGGTATCTGCGTTGGTAATGAGATAGTGATCGATGGCTTGGTAGTAGATACCATACGCGGCTAGTCCGGCGCAGAAGGCAGCCAGGAACTGAGCGGCGAAATACTCGGGCATCTTGGCCTTTGGGAAACCACGGAAGAACCAGAGGACCATAGTGACGACGGGATTGAGGTGAGCACCGGAAACACCACCAGAAATGTAGATGGCCATCATGGTGGCTAGACCCCAAGCCCAATCGGTCGTGTTAGGGTTGCCCTGATTGTTGATGGTGACGGACAAGTCAACGCAGAAGCCCATGGTCAGCTGAACAAAAACGCCAAGGGCCTCAGCCAGCGCTTCGCGGTGGTGAGTACGGATGACAGACCAGGTAGTGTGGTTGTTATGCACTTCATCCTCGACCAGTTCTTGAACAAGAGGATGGAGATCCTCTGGATATCCGGCTTTTTCCAGCTCGGGGGCATCTAAAAGCTCATCCAGCCTCTGGCCTAGATCAACATTCTCGGGGATGGTATCCATGCGCTCGTTACCCACGGGCCGCTCGTCTGGTTCATCGTTGTCCTGAGAGTCACCTTCTTCCACAGTCGACAGTTGATCTTGAGGAAGATCCCAACCGGAAGGACGTCGGCCTCGAACCGATGAAGTGCGTGACATGCGCGAAGTCTGTCGCACGGAGGTTCCATCGCCGGTGAGAATCTTGTTCATAAAGTTATTCTCGCGCTGCAGACGGGCATCCTCGACCTGAGCGGCCATCTTCCGCGGGTCTGTCGTCTTGTCAATCCGACCCTGCTCAAGATCATTCGCATTCACGTCCAGTCCAAGATTCTGCGAATTTTCTGTTGGGCGCTGAGCATTGGCGAGATTCTGGAGAAGCTCTTCCTTGGTCGGAACCATGCCGGGTCTCACCACACGGGGCAATGGCTTGGCCAGAGACCAAACAGGTCTGGCATTGGACGGCTGTTCATATGAAGGGTTCAGATCCGCATATCCAGGTTGCACGAAGGGTTCCTGAGCCAAACGAAGTTGAGGAGTCTCGTCTGGACCAGCGAGCGTGAACCTGCCCTGAGTGCGCTGGGCGAGAGTGGTGCGAGGTGCCAGACTGGGCACTCCGCTGCCGCCACTGCGTCTCGAGGCAACCGAGCTACGCCGTCTCGTGCCGCTCTGACCATCATCAGCGCCAGTGGCCCTCGTCGGCGAGATATAATCTGCGTCGCTGGCAGCGCGGTTCCGACGCGGCGACTGGGGCTGGGAATCGGACTACGGAACAAGCGGTTAAACGTGACTTTCCCTTTGTGCTTGCTTCTCACTCACCCTGGCCCTCGTGCGACTGTTATCGCTTTCCTCCATGTTGACTACGGTATGACAAGCACTATCCGCGCAGGCTGCAAGATTCGAGGTAAAAGTGTTACCCACGCCAACGAACAGAAGGGAATGACCCGAACAGATTGGAGTGGCCGAGGAGAAAAGGGGACAGAAGAGACGAACCCAGGTGGATCAACCACAATTTCTCAGCATCGGACCGAACTAATTTCCTAGTTCCAGGCGAAATTGAGCAAGAATTGACCCAGTTACGCAATGGCGACAAGATCAACGTAAAACTCCCCATCTGGCGTTCACGATATGGGTCTGTGGAGCACTCGGCCAACATATCAGAAGTGCACGATCCTGGAGTTCTCAGCCAGGTTGACATCATTCGGTAGTTCCTGTCCTGGCGCTGGCCCACAAGGGCTCCGCAAAAGCTTGCCTGGTTCTCGACCCGTTGAAACTGGTTCATTTTCGGGTGCCGTGCTATCCGCCCGACTTGCCGTTGAAATGTTGAACGTTAAGACGTGCATTCTCTGGGGATGGGAATATACACTTGGCGTGTCCCGAGATCCTTCGTGCGGAACATGCCACCTGGTCTGCCGGGCTTCCAAGGCTATTGAGTTCAATGGGGACCAATTGCGGGTCTTCGTCTTTGGCATGTTTTCAAGCGCGAAAGGGCCAAGCCACCTGGAGCCAATGGAAGCCTGTCATCTCGATCATCTGAGATCTACCATATGCAATGACCTCGGGGTTGGAATTGGTTTTTTTTTTTCCTGGTCGGGGGATTTCCGCCTTAGTCACCGCCACTGAATTCCAAGGTTGGAGACTCGATTTTATGCGTGGAGTTTATGCTCCCAACACGATTGTTTGGATAGTTGCCGTATCTCGTGACATATTCGTATCCAGAAGTCGTGGTATGTCAAGTTTGAGGGTTGAAACTCGTACTCCGTGTTTGTATTCTGCCTAGCCCGTCCGCTCTATAGTGATCAACCTGTGATTTCACTCCAGAGCAAATCCCGAAATGAGGATGCTTTCTTTTTGTTCATTTCATGTTTTCCATTTTTGCTTGTTCTTTTGGATGAGTTCCCAGTATTTCTGCAGCAATGATTTTGAGAATAGGTATCTTATTGGCAGTTCAACTATTCCGTCGCTCAATGCGATATGACATACCGGTAGTCTGCAGGGTGAGTCTTGGCAGCTTCCAAGGTTGATCGCGCAGCTCTTGTAAAAGTCAATGTGAGTACTCCGTAGGATACGTGCATTGCATGTTTGCTGATCCACCCCCTTGCCCACAGCGCGGAGTAGCGGTGAAAAGTTTAATGCTTATTGTGTACTCCATACTTGTGCTACGTCAAGTGCCGAATTTACCTGCTAAATCATAATTTAATTTATTGTATCCAGGAGCATGGGACTCGCATAATAATAATATAATAATCAATATCATTAGGATAAGGAAATTTCAAATAGGGTATCACACAAGCAAATTCAAAGACAAATCAGGCTATACAGGTAGGCGATAATTGTTGGAGGCCATCCCTTGTAAGGTGACTTGCTGCAGCGCGTCCTTCTAGGGAAGCGAACTGCAAGATGTCGGGGTGGGGGAAGTAAACGCAGTCGCCGGCAGGGGCGTCCTCGCTTGTGAGGACAACAGTGACCGGGCGCTCAACAATAGACTCGCCATCCCAATGGGATAGAGAGCCGCGTTGTCGAAGTGTGTCCAGTTGATCAACAAGAACGGGGAAAAGTTCGTGCAGAGAGCTTTTAGCATCAAGCATCAAGATGAAGGTCCCAGGTGAACCGGAGTGTGAACCACCAAGGGTGTTGGCCACATCGGCAGCAGCCTCATCCAGTTTCGCAACCAGAGGGTCGAGGCCAAGTCGGTTGAGCAAAGTATCCGGGTTGGGTCGAGTGACCGCATTACCAACCTGCAGCTCGCCATTGTGCATCCAGACAGGTATTCGTACTCCATCGCATCCTGCAGCAAGAGATGACTCGAGAGCTTGCGGTCGGGTGTCGAGTGTGGGGAAGGTGCAAACGCCGGTATGAGGGCGTGTATCGATCTGCGCGGACGGTTCATGCGGAAGGGACTTGGTGTTGATCGGTAGGAACCTTATCAGTTGGAATGCAGCTCTATGACGAACGATCAGTATGACTATTTAGTTCAATGCTGAGTCGAAACTCACAAGCACCCAAACAATAAACATCCGGCACGGAGAAGAGCCTTCTTGCGCCTTCCTATAGACTCCTCCAAATAGGCCCCCAGTCCGGGAATGCACTCCGTCGGATAAGAGCGCAAAGGATGATCGTCAAGAAGCCATGGATCGTATTCGTATCGATTCGATTCAAGGTCAATTGCCTCCTTTGAAAAGTCCTTCTCTGATTGAATAGCCTCCATAGCTGCAAGGGTGAAACCTTTAACAGCAGTACCGAATTTGTGTCGGGTACGTCGTGTAGATACACCTGATCAGAAGCAGAATGCTAAAATCGCATATAGCTCAGCGGATTCAGCGGTATATAAGCTCAAAGCCAAGATGTGAGGAGACATCGCGCAATTGTGCAGCGAATTGCGAGAAGCACGCAATCTTCATTGGCAATTGCAAAGCTCGGGTGATCGTCGACAGCTCTCAGACGACCAGTCTCATTTCAACCTCACGCGCACATTCTTGCAATAAAGGGATATTTCCACATGGCGGTCAAAAACATGGAAGTTTTGGTATTTGAGGCTGAGTTCAGTGTTCGAGAACTGTTGCACGGTTAGGGGTGCGGGTCGGGTGTTATCTCTGGGGAACCAGTTTGATGACGTTATTCATGGTGCACATTGCAAACCCCGCAGCACTGTCCATTTGTTTCATGGAGATGAAATGATCAATATCATGATACTGGGCAACTGAAGGAAGTCCATTCTCTCACATTCAACCCCCCAAGTCGAAAAACAACATTGAAGCGGTTTTTTGATTACACGTGACCGAGATGCACTAGCCTAATGGGGCAAGATGCCCCTTCAACCCACTTAGCTTGATTGACCAATCAAATGTCCTAAATCTCAACATTCATCCATGGATCCTTTTAAGGTTCTGCAAGTGCGCTACTTCCAAGGTTGGGCACTTCAAAATTATCCTCACATATTGTGTGTCATCAAAGGCACCAGCCCTGGAGGAACATTGAATTTTTAATTTATCCAGGCAATGAGGAGTCTAACTCTTTGAATCAGTCCAGGGATATCAACGTAGATCAATTTCACAGCACAATCAATCTAAATTGACTGCATGTTTGCTGTGTTTCCGAATCTGAGGACCATAGATATAAAGCAGGTAAGGAATGACCGCCATCACTGCACTAATAGAGCCCAATATAGTAAGTGTATAATGTGCACCAATTGCTTCATAGATAGGCCCTCCAGCAACAGTGACGCCACCAGCAACAACGTATCGGGTGAACGCAAGAAAGCCCAGGGCCGAAGCCGAATACACGCCATATGCATCGATGATATACATATACGCAACAATAAAAATTGACATGATCCCGTAACCAAACAACACAGATGCAATGAGTGGGGACCAAATCGAGATAGAAGGCTGCAAAGGTGAATCAGTCATGTAATGAAGTAGGCGAGGGCAGAGCAAGATATAGACTTACATAGTTCGTCCAGCCCATCCAAAAGAGACTGATAGGTACAGCCGGTGCACCGCCAAGCATTGAATACCAAAGACGCGTCTCGGGAAGAATACGACCGGTCTTTTGATACTCTTTTGCGGTCCACGAATATACCAAAGGGACGGTACAGCCAGTCAGAATGATACCCACAAGCATACCAGCCCAGGAGACATTAGTTAAGCCTAGCGATAGCCCATATGGTTCTCCAAAAACGTAAGTGTACCCCTCCAGGAAAGTAAACAGAACAATGTACACCACAGTGAGATACACTGACATCAGAATGATGATAAGCTCGGTGTAACTCCACAAAAATGGTCGATAGATGGCAGTCAGGAGGCGCCTTCCAAGGCTCTCCCTTCTCAACTCCATTGGAGCTCTATATCTCCGATCGCAAGTCTCTTTGCGAAGAATCGAAGCCTTCCACTGAAGAAGTAGGTTTCCATATGTCTCTGGTTGCATGAGAACAACCAGAACAAGGATAGCACCTCCCATAATTAGCATAAGCCATTCAAGCCAACGCCATCCAAGTGTTGTGGGCACGTAACTACCAATGATCTGTCCGACCATCGGGCCAATAAATGCCGGGATAGCGTATGCGGGGAACGCATATGCCTTTTGAACTGGATTCCATAGATCGGCAACAGTGCCGCCAGCGCAGCTCAAAGGAGTGGAACCGAAGAAGCCAGCGAAGAAACGGAAGATCAAATGGCTGTGAAGATTGGGAGCGACAGCCGACGCCATGATGAAGATGAGGAAAACAAGCATGGTTATCAGATAGACTGCATTGCGTCCAAATGTTTCGGAGAAGGGACCAGAAAGTAGTGAGCCGACTCCGAAACCGACAAGGAAGAGACCTGGGTCTTGTTTTAGCATGTCATATCTCATGTTCGGTTTCACCAACTGACCTGTTGCAAGAGAGCCGACCACTTCAGACACATTGAAATATTCACTATACTGTTTGACGCCACAGGCGTCAATTGCGGAAGCTGCGGTGACTGCAAATGCAATCATGGACACCAAAAGGGTCATGAAAAGCTTATGCGAAACGCTGCAATTGGCTGGGTTCAGGGGATCATCTTTGCCATCCCAATCCACAAGAATAATATCATCATTCTGCAGTTCTTTTGCTTGGGTCCTCGAGGATTCCTTCCCTAGCGGAGGAGAAAGGCCGCGGCTAGAGGGTAAATGTAAGCATGTCCGCCGAGGTAAACGCAACCCAAGATACGGAGTAAATGTAATGAAGTTATGGCCTACCTGTCATTGTTATCAGATCCATCTTCAGCGCTGCTTACGCTGCATTTCTCGTTGGCAACCTGCACTTTCACAGCACGCTGAATTCGCTTGTACTGGAAGTATGATTCCATCTTGGCAAAACAGAGCTCTACCTCAGCAGGGGCCTCGGAGATGAAATGACGAGAAAGATAAGTGAGTCCTCATGGGACTATCGAATTTTCCACCCATTAACGGGCGACGGGTCCACAGCCAAAATTTGACCCATACTCGTTGGACGGAGCCTGCAAGTGGATTGTAAGACCCACCGTCAGATTACATAGAACCCCCTTTTTGGGCGGCGGCCTCATCATTGAGAGATCGTCTCAGACTGGACAAAAATAGTACTGAGAACTAGTGGTGCAATTGAAGGGTGCTGGTGCATCCTTTCCGGTATCATCAAAATGGATGCAAATTGAGTTGCGGTCCGACCTTCGGGGAGTTCGGGAATTCCACATCGGAATGTCCGTCGGAAGTGATTAAGCTTTTCCGCGGCAGCACGGGCTTTCTCTTGCCTCAATCTTCATGATATTTTTGTAATTTAGGTCCATGTCTCCAAAATCTGCCAGAGTAAGATACAAGTATTTCTCCTTGTTTTCTGGGTAGTACTAAAGTGGGGCATATTATCTCTAGACGCCAACAAGGATAGATGCACCAGGGCAGCCATTGGAACATAGAACAAATTCCTGTCTAGAGGTCCCAGATAGAATGCATGGAAACTTGGAAGAGGAGAAAATGCGTCGCAGTGAGGGTGTGAGAAAAGCAGTGTATGCGGGCAACCTCGGGCCTCATAATCTCGCTTCAGGCTTTGCTCCAGGGGTGTTGGCAAATATCTTATTCCGAGGGCTCGCGAGTCGCGCTGGAGTAGATTCAAACAACCGAGGAAGTTGAGTTTGTTTGTAGTCGATTCCGTTTAGTATCATTTTCGCCAAACCCTCAGCAGCAAGGAAAATTTGCGGCATTCCATGTCCTGTAAATCCAGCGAGAATATATTGTTCTTCTTCTCCTGGAACACAGCCAATATGTGGCAATCCGTCCGAAGAATAGCCCATGACTGTAAAGATATTAGTACGTTCAATCTTGGAATTATGTTTAAATGTGAGATCATTCAAAAATGACTTACTGCCAGTCCACACCCGATCGGTGTACGCATGGCTCTCTTCCCAGCCAACGAAATTCCGCTGCATATAATTGTCCCAATACCTGACGGCAGCCTCAAGTACCTGGCTATCATCACTGACATTGTACCAACTATCCAGATCATTGATAAAAGCCGGTCGTGCACCACCGACGACAATGCTCCCATCGTCACGAGGAATGAGATAGTCATAATTCCAATTGTTCCAACGAAGGGTATAGGTTTTGGCCAATCGAGGGGCAGAAGTGTTAGGCGGAACAATAATTCGGCTGCACGTTCCTCGCACTGGAATAATCTTCTCCTTGTACTGTGGGGCCAGTGAGGAGGTATATGCGTTCGTTGCCAACACCACTCTCTTGGCCGAGATTGAACCTCGTGCGGTGTTCACCGTCCAGCGATGAGTGAGAGAGGTATCAGTAGAATGTGTCATTCCAGAAACGGGAGTATGTGTTTGCATATTTACCCCACGTGCAATGGCGTTTTCCAGAAGGTGCAGAACAAATTTGTACGGCCAGATGTGACCAGCTTCGTATGTGAAACAACCCTTTGCGCCTTTGACCCCAGAAAACTGTGTGCAAATTTAGCTGAAGTCCTTGAGTTCAGGTTTTCTGATAAAATCGCAACCTTTTCAGCGTTGGGTGTGTCAATATAGGTCGCGTTAGCTGTCGGCTCACATCCACCCTGTATCAATCTGTCATATCCATCTTTGAGTTTTTCGGAATGCTCTTGGGACAGTTGAACATCGACCGCTTTTGTGACCACATAGTCGCATTGAATGTTTGCATTGTCGATGAATTGTTTCAAATAGGTGACATGTTTGGCCTCGAACGCAGCAACTTCTGCAGCAGCCTCAACGCCATGATCTGCTGCCAATCCAGCAATTCCATTGTAGATGTCCGGTTTCATATGACCTCCTATATTGATGATATTTCAATGAATAAAAACATTATAATCGTCATAGAATGTGATCATACCGTTTCGACCAGTGGCGCCAGAACACGCCTGCCGAGCCTCGAGGATCACGACCGAAGGAGGCTTGAGCCCAGGACTGGTTTGGCCAATAACATGGTGTGCAACCGAGGCGCCTGCATATCCAGCACCTACAATCACGATATCGCACTCACTTGGGAGAGATTCAGTAGATCGATGGCTATCTAAGACATGAGGCTCCGTCCGCCAGAATGATGTCATCCCATTTGGGACAGGGGTAGGCTTCAAACTCATGATCAAAGTGCTATCAGCGAGCTTGTTGATGGTATTCAGTCGAAATCCTATTTATTCACTTCAGTTCGTCGTTTTTGCCCGGCGGCTTTTCCACCGGCAAGGTTCCGGCCCTGACCCCGCCGATAAAGAAAATGCTGCGTGTACAGGTGGGAAATGCCAGCCGTGCGGGGTCTTTCTAGGCACTTTGGGTACCTTGGGTGAAGACATACTTTGGAAGGGCGTGTCAGGACTCAAAGGTGTGTTTGTCGAGAACTTTAGAAGAGCTCAACTGTAGCAACCTTGGAAGTTGGCCTGAGGCATAACATTGAAAGTAAACATGAAGTGACCATCATTTGAGCCGACCTATTATTTGTAAAGATGCTTCCGATTACTGAAAGAATGCGTAAAAATAAGATTCTTAGTATTAGAGAGAAAAATTCTTCATATTCCAACTGATAACGTTGAATGTTTATATACAAAGTTCACGAATTTCACGAAGATGCTTGGTGGGCAATAATCTTGTCAGCCATCCCAGGCAAGGTATCATCCATGACGTCCATTTCTCCAAAGAGCTCTGAGAGCGACTCTTTTTCCCATACAGAGCAGTAAGCACCTTTGAAGCTGAAGTGGAAGTGTGTTAGTAAACTGAATTCCAGCTGATTATCATGTTCGAAACTTACCCAGCCTTCCTAGCAGCAGATACGTCCCACATATGCGCCGCCGCAAACCAAGGCGTCTTCCCATCGTTTTCCGACTTGAGTTTCTCCAACAGAGGTCGGTAAGCCGCCAGATCGGGCTTTCCGACACCTGCATCGTCACAAGAGAGCAAGTTCTCTGCAGGGAGTTCCACCCCGGCATTCTTGAAATAGCCTCCAACACGGCTGATGTCCGCAGCTGTGAAAGCCCAAACCGTGAATCCAGCATCACGAAGCTTTTGAACGCATTGTGCTGCGCCGGGGCGGAATTCAAGGAGTTGGTACTCCTTCATAATATATTCCAGATCTTCAGGCGATGCCCACTTTCGTGGCTCGGCGATGCCAGCCATCCAAAGCATGCGATAAAAAAGAGCACGGAAAACCTCCCCGAATGGGACATATGTCTGTGCAAGGCTGAGGTTGGTGTACTCGCGCTCCGCAGCTTCCATCCATGTGTATCCCAGAAGGCGAGGTTTGATACCCTCTGCGCGCAACCGGTCCCCTAGACGGGTATCAAGGGCATCGAACACATGATCATAGGCTACCAGTGTTCCGACAATATCGAAAACAACATGCTTTGATGACATGGTGAGGCCTATGTTTGTTATCTTGCGAGTCAGAAGGGTGATGCTTCTTTTAAATCTGACTTGAAATGTTATCAGATGTAATAGAGCAAATGCAGAGAAATTCTCACAGAAATAGTCCCCTGCGGGCCACTGGTAGTTGAACTTATCTCCAAATCTGATTTGTATACCCCGCTCCGGCTATCAGCATTCCCGGTGGGAAGTCCACGATCCCACCGGGAGTCTAAACAAAGAGATACTAGATAGCGATAGCCATGGGATTAAAGTATACAAAATGCTGGATGTGCGTATTAAAGATGAACTTCATTTTGAGTTGAAATCGTGCTAGAACCGCTCCGTCAGCATGAGCCTTCATCCAAAACAGATGTCGGAACAAGACACAGACCTGAAGGAAACCGAGGCAACCGACATAGAGCGTACAGCCACTTCAGGTACTGAAAAACATGGAAGCACAGTGGTTCTCTCAGTTGGCGGGGATGCTGGTTACCATCGGTCACTAACGAGGCGGCAAATTATGATGATGACCTTTGGGGCAGGTATTGGAACTGGGTTGTGGGTAGGAACCGGACAAGCTTTGCATTATGGTAAGTGGTATCAGTAACGCTTTACTCACAGATATGGTTGTTGACTACGAAAAGCCGGCCCTGCTGGCACAGCTCTTACCTACACTATCACTGCGTAAGACATACTATCTTGTGATTCTGAATCTTCAATGCTAATTCGCTGCCGAAGAATGATTGTTTACGCCCAATACTCTTCCGTTGGCGAAATGACTACATACAAGCCTATCCATGGTGGATTCATTCGGCAATGCGCTGAATACGTGGACCCGGCTTTTGGTTTTGCAATTGGCGTCAATTTTTGGTTCGCGGTATGGTATCTCCTTTCTACAGCAAAACCGGTACTTTGGACTGATATTGGAAATAGTGGGTGATGATTATACCAGCAGAAATAACAGCTGCCATATCTGTCTTAAAGTACTGGCCAGAGACCGACGTGGTGCCACTCGCGGCCTACATTACCATCTTCCTCGCCGTGATAGCGTGTGCCAACATGTTTCACGTTCGAGTGTATGGCTATATCGAATATTATATGTCGTTTGTGAAATGTCTCGCGGTTGTTTTGATGATTTTCTTTATGTTCATCATGACCTCAGGAGGAATTCCCGCCACCAGCGGCCCAATTGAGTTCAGGTACTGGAAGAATCCCGGAGCGTTCAACAATGGAATCAAAGGCATTGCTAAGGCCTTTGTGCAAGCAGCGTTCAGCTTTGGTGGCGGTGCGACTTTTCACAATGATTGACATGAATTATCACTAACCTAATCACCAGGTGAACATATCGCTGTGATAGCCGGTGAAGTCAAAGATCCCCGGAAAACCATCAAGAAGACTGTTCGTCCAATTTTCTGGAGAATGTTCACTTTTTTCGTGGTCAATATCTGGCTTGTTGGAATGTGTGTGCCCTCCGATGACACCGATCTTGTGAATGCAAGTGGAACTATGGGCAGTCCCTTTGTCATCGCCATTAAACGTGCAGATGTATATGGTCTCGCACATGCAATCAACGGCTTTATCTTCCTCAGTGTCATTAGCTGTGGTATCACTAGTGCTTATATCGCAAGCCGAAGTCTGACAGCACTTTCTGATCTGCAGATTATCCACCCCTTCTTCGGCAAGAAAGACTCCCAAGGGAGGCCCTATGTGTCGCTCATTATTAGCTTGGGCCTTGGTGGTGGGCTTTGCTATCTCAACACCAACAGTATTGGTACCTTGGTCTATGGCTGGTTTTCTGCCTTGGTAAGAGCGTCTACCCTAGCAATCACCCCAGTGAAAGAGTATTAACAAGCATCTTCTAGGTGGCGATTGCAACACTCTTCCAATGGGCGTCAATCTACATAGCCCACCTTCGATTCCGACAAGGACTTCGGGCTCAAGGCAAGGATCTTAGAAAGCTTCCTTTCAAAGGGCTTCTCACACCATACGCACAGTACTTCGGCCTAGTGATTGTACTTTTTGTTTTTGGTTGTGAGTTTTACCTGGCTTGCTGGCCTTTTGGGGAAAAGGGCTCCGTCAAGAGCTTCTTTTCCTCTTATCTCGCCGCCCCCTTGTTCGTTTTCGATTATTTCGTGTACAAGGTAAGATCTTTCGGGTTATAGGAAAGTTACATATCATTCTAACAATGACAGTGGTATTACAAAACAAAAATTGTCAAACCAATTGACATGGACTTCGGTCCCGCCAGGCCCTTCGATGAACAGGATCTCATCAACGCCATTGCTTCTGAAAACATGCCACAGGATCCGGAGGGAAATGACAAACAGCGGTGGTTTAAGCGCGCCCAGTACATGATCTTTGGATAGTTCAAGTGTTGGTTGCATGTCGTCTTTTGTGCTAAGTTGAGCAGTATGAATTCATCCGGACAGCAATGAAAGAATATTTGTGTCAAGTCCAAGATCTTCATTTGACCACTCTGGATTGAAGAAGTCGGTAATATCATTCAATTGGGGATTTGCAAGTCTTTCTGTTCCGGGCGTGAGATGTGATAGGGGGCTGAACGACGCCAGATCTCGGCTCTCTGCCGTAGATGTATCTTTTTTCAGTGTTTTTGTCCAATCCTGGAATCTGGTGTATGCAGAAATGGGACTTTGGCTCGTATTTGACTGATTCACAGAGTCATGTTCGGGGGCAGCTAAATATTGACTGATTGCCGCTTCGATTGCTTCAATATACGAAGTCTCGGATTGTGTAGAGCTGCCTCCAATCATTTGGCGTATGAGACTCATTCCGCGTTGAAGACCATCCTGGAGCCTCTGTGACTTCCCAGAATTGAGGCTTTCGGCAAGGATGACAAGTAGGGCTGCTCTACACGCACCGAATTCGTTATAGGAAGCGCGGCATAGACCAACGTGATCTGATAGGGATTGCAGAGTATTGAGAATGTCCAAAGCGCTAGCCACACAATCGTAGACTAATGCTGATCGACGTGATTGGCAAGTATCAAGATCTGCGGCCGGCATTGCATCAATCCCACCTTCTGCTTTGTCTTCGACGAATATAAATGGGCGGCCCATATAGACATAGATGAGAAGATAGCACAATTTCAAATGCGAGTTTTGTCGAAATAATGGGCCTTGGGAGCAGAGGTCACGACATTCCTCGGTTGCAGGGAGGGTATCCCACCATTGCTTGATTCGAGCTCTCAGCTGCAACAGTCTATCGGAGTATTCCGATATAAGTCTTTTTGGACATTTCTTGAATTGGGCACTCGTTGGATTTAGTACGAGTCCCATATACTTATTGGAAGCAGTACACTCACAGTGTCTCTGAAATCTCTCCTAGATATGATATTAAGGTGTGGAACGCCATCAAATTGGAGAATCCTGGCGATGTAAAGGCGGGGGAATTCGTTGGCATATCTGCGTTAATTTCCGATTTTGCGATTGAGATGGGCCGTCCATGCATTATGCTGATATATCTAGTCGTCACATTTAGTACAGCGGTAGAAGAGATGATTGGTAAGTGGCATACTTCTCAACAGAATATACTGTCCAAAAGAGGCGGTTCCTTGTCTCAATTGTCTTCCAATCGCAGTCCCCGCCGGGATATTGGCGATGCATACCATTTTGGATAGCCATCTTCATTGCGAGTCCATAATAAGTATAGGCAAGTCCACCAGTGGAAACAGGGAGTGAGTATGTCGCAAGCAACAAAAATGCCTGTACACTTTCATGCGATGCGACCAAGAGAACATCCGGTACCAATCTGCAAGCCACATGGTAAAATACTAAACCGACTGAATCCTCGGAGCATAGCCGAAGCTCGTCGGTTGTATCTGTGTTAGATTTGGGTACTTCGTCTTCCATGTGGGCCACTTGAATACCAATGGCCAGAACAGCAAAGACTGAGCACACCCAAGGAAAATCACTGGATCTGTATATCGTGTTTGAGTCATAACATATTTCCATCTTCTCCTCAATCCAGCTGCGTTCCATATAGAACGAATTAATCTCAACATATTTGAAGAACACGTCGATGAGAAAGTCGGCAATTGCTTTCGGGGGCAATTGTCTCATCGACTCGACCAGAGTTTGTGGTGATGACTGAAGCTGAGTTGGTCGCCAGTACTCCTTTACCTTACCACAGGTTGCAGCGTATTAGGATGGCCCAAGTAAACAAATATAAAGAGCAGGTACCTACCTGTGCATCAAGCTGACCGATTTGTCCGCTCATCTTGCGACGGAGCTTTTGAGAAAAATTCCAATGAGAGAACTCCCCTGAGTAGTGGGCGATGTCTCTTGACACGAGTTGCACGTCGAATGACTCGTTGATGTCCAATGCACCTTCCATTCGAGCACTGTGTGCCGTCGAACTTTGCAATCTGGTGACGATCTGTGCCAGGCTCTCTTCGTCCAGAGATACATTTCCAAGGAAATGATGCGCAATATATTCCAGGCTCTCGGCCCGTTTCTTGTCTCCGGAAAGGCACGCGGTGGGGGCCGAGCTGGGAGCAGAGTCAAGAGGGGTCGCAGCTCTCAGAAGAGGTTGGCCCTGAAAGTGGCATGGTCGACCTAGCCGCTGACATCTCCAACAGGGTGGTCCGCCTTCGCATTTCTCCTTCTGTTTTCGGCATGTTTCACAACTTGTCGGAATGGTCAGTTGTTGGGAACGAGATGGAGATGTCTTGCACCTACGCCAAGGAAGCGCGTCTATTCTCTCCTCGCTTCCGCTTATTTCCAGTCTCCGATGTGTTTTTTCCTGTCATAGAGGGTATCTTGGTATTGATTGGCACTGGTAAAAGATTGAGATTCGAGTGATTGACAACATGGGAATAAGCTTATCTTTCTTATCGGTACTCCAAAGCTCGAAATGCGGGGTAAATACATTGTTGACCAATCAGAAGCTGTACGGACCACCCGGGCTGTGCGCATTTTATTACTGTGTTATTTACATTTGGAAGTGTTTTTGAAGCTCGATTTTACCTAGGTATTCCTCTGTTTTGGTGAGGATTATCTATGAATGGGACTCCTAAATTTTGAAACCCAAGGGAGGGTAATTGACCCCACGTCTTGTAATTCCGAGGTTGACACTAGATTTAGAATTGACAAATGTGATTAATGCCAAGTGATTTCAATCTCTTCTTTGACCTGGATCTTAGAGTTTGATGCCATGTTGTCTCTACTTTCCTTCCCTCGCAAGAAGTTCAAGGGCCATCCAGGGAAGTTCATCAGTTGCACTTCATCGCCATGCTGGTCACCCCCATCATCCTCGTCAACCGTTCCATGCCTTGATTGATGTATCCTCGATCTGCCTGTGTTCTCGTAGTCTTGTCTCTTCTTTGGGTTTGATCCTTTGCCACCCAAGGCAGCCCACCAGCGGCGGAACAACGGCGTAAAGGTGGGAAGGCAAGCGCAGACAATTCCAATGAAAGGTTCGACACAAGACCACACAAATACCGGAGCAATGGTCCAAGATGGGTCCTTGGAGTGGGTATTCCTGTACAGAAAAACGACGCGAATAATTCCGGCGATGCAGACACTAGCATTCTAAGATTAGCTTTCGGACAGTTCAGCGCTCATCTATACAGGGATTCTCTCACAAGCCACCGAGTAGAAGAATGCTTATAACAGCAAGTCGCTGTGTTTTCGGCATCTGCAACCTCCAAATAATAGGAGCAGGGATGCACAGAATCATGACATCGATCAAGACAGATGCAATTCCATTGAAGAAGAAAAATTCACGGACGTCAATACATGTTCCTTTGGCAGTGGGATCAATGTATTGCTGCCAAAAATAGGACAATGGACGGCATGCGATAGCAATGGTTGCAACAACTGCCAAAAAATATCCCAATATGATGGACATGGCAAGGTAAAGGGACCATTGGAGATTAAATATTCGACGATAAAACAGAATAATCGAAGATTTGGTCAGAGTCACGGTCGTTGAGTATATGATAACATGAGCGAACAGGATTTTCCATAATGAAATGAAGTCTGAGTCACGCAATGTTTGTTGATGCCATCCGTTCTTGTATTTTGTGCCTGAAAATCTGGTCAGGGCCCGAATTCTCAACACTTGCCGTACTCAAGGGTTACTTACTGATGATCACACAGATTGCAGTGCCGTATGCGCAACACTGGGAACAGGTCAGTGAGGACACTATGATGCTCTCGACCCAAACATACCAAAGATGCGAAAATGAGATAATCGTCAAATCCAAAATTGGTATGCGAGCTCTTCACGCGGGTATAGATACGTAACATGACTGCTAAGGTTCCAATGATCATAAGGCTGATGACAGCACCAAGCATTTGCGCTTGTTGATTCTCAGCAAGATCGACACCAGCGGGCGTAGGCCCAAAAGCACCAGTGGCTTTCATGGTCTAATTGACGGGTGCAGGTAGGTCTTGACTGCTCAAGTGCCTGTGCTGGAGACGAGGTTTCGACCTATTGGGGGCACATCAACATATTTAAGCGGAGGGACCAAGTTCGCATCAAGATCATCCTTTGCAGTTCCAAGGTCTGATATGGAGCTAGGTCTGTGCTTTTAAGGAATCGATGTATCAAAATTCATGGTTCCGTTTCCAGGTCCACAGGCTCTTCAGTTCAGTTTTTCTCAAGGTCGAGGGACCTGAGTATGCACCCTTGGATATTCATATATCCCACTTACACCCATGGATGAATTTTGATATACCAGGCTGTAAAATGTCGAATTGGGATTGTTATGAAGTACCCGTGGACCTCATGAAAAACACGGATTTCTCCCAACTTTAGAAGGTTCGCGTTTCCTAAAGTTGGAGGCCCAGAGCAATAAGTTCTGCAACTTGGGGCTGGTGGGGCCTGAACGGGTATGAGCAAGATTATTGGGAAATAGTCTGAAGACCCTAACAGTGATTCCAAAAGATCTGAATGGTTTCACCTAAATTCACCTGGGACAATCTTCAACTCCGGATCCATGGACCCTGTCAGCCACGAGTGGAGACAATCAAAACATCCCATTGTACTCGTAGTATACAAGCCGATGTGGGTCGTAGTTAATCACTTTGCCGCGCGCTCAGGCACCTGTCAGGTGAGAGTGAAGATGAAATGACATAGCTTATTCCTATTTGGTCCTTTGAGGCCTGTTTAGCAGGTTCTTCGAGTTTCACAATTTCTAAAGTTGTTATATGTTTTTGCGATAGCCGCGTCTTAGGGGGCCTAGACGCCTGATCGCTACGGAAGATTGCGACCTTCTCCATTGAAAACAATTGGTATTTTTCAAGCACATCTGATGGAAAAGCTCTAGAGCCGAAAATGATACCAATATGTAGTATCCCCAGCAGGTATCCCCGACCAACCACTTAAATACCCGTGTGAAGCTAGATTAAGTGACTTCAAATCATAATAAAGTACTCCTTCTCTCTGAAAGATCCAACAGCCTCGCACACACGACTTTACCAGTTAAGCACTACGTAGTCATTGAATTACGCTGAGATTGGTTTGCTTTCATATCAGCACGACTCTTCCTAATCACCACAAATCAAGTCGCAACAAAATGCCATAATAAGTATCTCAAAATTCTCCAAGATACTTTCCTCGGTTACAAATGTATTCATTCTCTTCCATGAGCTCACGTGTCTGTCTGAGGTAGACCCCGCCTTGTGTCGGCTTAAGGGTTAAACCGGGTAGTCGGGGTACATACACAACCCGAAGTATCCAGCCCTACAGGAACTTTAGAAGACACAACCTCTTCTTTCCCTTTGCACTTCGACCTCACAATGGAGCGCTTGCAGGAGTCGATGCAGATTGATTTCAATCATCCAACCTTCTTGATATCTCGATTGTATGTATTTTCTCACTGGCTCGGATGAATCAAGCTAACCCGGACACAGACAATCTATCAGTATAATAGTCGCCTCTACAGCACTTGTCTTCACAGGATGTGGAATTAACTTCGCATTCGGTGTCTTTCAAGAGCTATATGAATCCATGGCAAAGGAGCCTAACACACCCTTTACGGGTGCCACGCCCGCTCAGATCGACTTAATCGGCACTCTCTCCATTGCGCTGCTGAACATCGGGGCTCCATTCGCAACGACATGGATCAAACAATACCCCCCTCGTAATGTTATCTGGGCAAGTGGGATCGTCTACTCTGGTGCCTTGATTCTGGCGAGCTTCAGTCAAGCCTTGTGGCAATTCGTTCTCACACAAGGATGTCTTTCGGGGATCGGAGCTTGTCTCCTCTACATGCCGTCTGTAACGGTAGCACCAACTTGGTTCTCTCTTCATCGTGGGCTAGCAATGGGCATCATTCTAGCAGGAACCGGGGTCGGTGGTGTTGCATGGCCCCTTGCCTTCAGGCATCTCATTGACTCTGTTGGATTTCGCAATACGCTTCGCATAACTGCGGGTATATCTTTCGTACTCATCTGCGGATCGGGGGTGTTCATCCGTTGGCCAGAGAATCAACTTGCTCGTATCCAAGCTGAGAATGGAGCTTTTTCCCGCTCATCTAACTTGTTTATCCTGCCACGGGTTGACTGGAGGGTTGCTAGAAGCCGCAAGTTTCTCGCACATGCTCTCGGTGCAGCCCTGCAGTCTGCAGCGTACTATACGCCTGTGTTTTTCTTTGCTTCTTTTGCACGCACACTAGGATACTCTCAGGCAACTTCGGCAAATTTCATTGCGATATCCAATGCTGCAAATGCACTTGGAAAGGTTGTCATCGGCTACGGGGCAGATCGAATGGGCAGACTCAACACACTGGTTTTGACAACTCTCTTATCAGCGATCTCCGTCCTCGCCCTGTGGCTTCCTTCCTGTTTAACCACGACCCAGTCGAGTGGAAGCAATCTGTTCATAGCTTTCACTATTCTCTATGGCATCTTCGCATCGGCATATGTGGCTCTGTTCCCAACATGTTTGGTCGAGCTGTTCGGCGTACAGAACTTTGCTAGTGTCAACGGCCTGCTGTATATGATCCGAGGCTTTGCCAGCTTACTTGGAACACCAGTTGCAGGTGCACTAATCAGAGGTCACCACCAGAAGAACATGGGCCCTCGAAGCTATGAGAATACCAGCATTATGGTTGGTGTTCTGATGGCCGTTGCGACTTTGGCTGTTGTCTGGGCCCGGCTTGAAGCCACTCTCACTCTAGATGGGAGTCAAGGCCACAGGAGGAAGTGGCTAATGTAGAACCACTCACCACGACCTTGGGACTCGATGGACTCTTGGAAATATTGAGTGTCTGCGCATCGCAGGTTGTGTACAGAAGCTAGGTCATCTTGACAGAGTTGTCAGGAAGTCATCCCCAATGAAATATCTCATCTCTTTACTTGGTGTTAATGTCGCATGGCTTTGGGTTGTCGCCAGTTAGCCCAATAGTTAGCATGTAGGAATTTCCGAGAATATTTGTGACTTGGTAATGAGAAGCCTCCTCATAATCTTCGAACCAAGGATTTACACCAAATTTCTTGTTTCTAGGATGTATGATAGTACATTATAGTACGCACATTTGACCATCTAAACCGAATAAACCAAAATATTGCATGAATCATAGATCATAGATCATCTCCACATATTCTTGGCCTTACAAGCCAGGAGTCTGCGCTCCTTCCCCAATACCCATCAGCCCACCAGCAAGTCCATTCATGCGACGATCCAAAATATCCTCTTCACTGTCTAGAGATGCGATACTGCGTCCTCGAGGACGAGCTGTAGTCGGACTTTCCGGTGCACTGTTCGTCTCATCCGCATCGAACGGGTCACCACGGCCAGACCTCTCCAAGTGTCGAAGCTTAGCAATGAAGTCATCCTTGGCTCTGTGATCATCTCCCAAGGATGTGAATCCAGTGAACTGCGAAGAAGCAAATGAAGATCGCGATCTTCGCCGGCGTGTACGGTGCTCGGGCTTTGGCTCCGATGCCGCATCGCCGGTGTTCAGATTGATCTTGCTCATGCTCATCTCCAAAGGTCTATCATCATCCCCGGAGGACTCGCCGGTTAGGATTCGGCGATGATTGCGCCCTTGTTTCGAGGGGGTCTTTCCATGATCTGCAGAGCCGGACCACTTAAGGGAGGTGTTTGCTTGTGCGCCCTCTTCAATGCCCAGTGAGTTTGCAAGGGCATTTTCCGTCTCATTGTTCTTGAATAAGTTTTCAAGCCAGTCTGCACTGCGATTGATATACTTCCACGCATCCGGGAAGAATCCAGCCATTTGCATGAATCCATGTGACACGCCAGGGATGAGGGACAATTCAACGTAATTCTTTTCATTGAAGGGGCGGTTGGTTTTCTCTAGTCCCAAGTCCTGGCGCTCACGGAACTGATGAAGTTTCGCCTGGCGCAATCTTCCTGCGAAAATCACGGTGTCATCAACCAGAGGGTCTCGCTCTCCAGTCATGATGTATGTCTTTGGGAACCGAGCAAGTAGGGCATCGGGAGCTAGAACAGGCGACAGAAGAAAATCGGTGTTGAAATCTGGGCGGTGATGTGGTCCGATATACAAAATGATCATTGCACGAGTCATTTCGGGTGTGAGGATTCGATCATGCACATAGGTGATCATAGAAGAGACGGCAAGCCTGGTCTTAATTGGTTTGACATTATCCTCTTGTTTGGCCAGAGCTTTTGTACCCAGCTCCTCGTTCTTCTGAAGCTTCTTCTCCAAAGATTTGGCAGTCTCGGTTGCGATATCGGTCTCCTTGTCTTTTGCCTTGTCTGGTGGTGAGATTGCGGTCAGATCTTCGACCGAGCGACCGGGAGAAGTAAAAGGGGTGAGTTTGCGATATTGGTCTTGCTTTCGTTGAAGGACACTGCGGTTAGTCTGTCGAGAGCTTTTGTCTTGAATCAGAGACATCTGCTCGTCGCTCATCCAGCTTTCTACCCTCATATTGAGGGCAGGATATCCCAGAACAAGACCATCAGGAGCAGGAAGCTCATCCTCTCGACGCCATCCCTGAGACATCGCAGATTGCAAGATCATCAAAGTCATTCCTACAGCTAGATTGCCACCAGCACTCTCACCGGTGACGAGAATTTGTGGTCGAAGCTTGCCTTCAAGGCCCATGCAACGACCGTTCGTAGCAACGATGCTATGATAAACATCATAGCATTCGTGTAGCGCATGTGGATACGCATATTCTGGCGCCTTCTTGTAGTCGACGCTAAGAACGGGCACTTTGAGTCGACCCGCCCAGGCAAGTAACTTATCCTCTGAATTCCTAGGGCTCATGGCCACAAAACCACCGCCCGGAACATCTAACACGATGGATTTTTGTTGCTTCAATGCACTGAGCGGGCCATCGAAGTAAAGCCATGCATTCACCGGCTCGGTATAGATTGACTGTGCTGGCCGAGGGATTCTAATCGCCCGAGCCGGATATTGTGTCATTCGTGGCCGTAATAGTCTCGCCAGATTCCACAAGTAGGGACTAGTCGCTTTGTTCCAAGAAACACGCAGATGCTCCAGCGTCAAAGTGGCCCGGACACGACGGACCTTCTCGTCCGCTTGTTCGGCAGCGACCAAGTAGTAGACCGTGAAGACCAAAGAGGCTATATCCCTCAACCATTTGGGCTTTATGTTCATAGCAGTCCAAAATCCAGCATCCAGACCTGTGGTGATCCACGTTGCGCGGAAGAAGGACCGTGAGTACATGTTTGCTAATGGCTCCGGGCATTCGAGGCCGACAATCTTGGCAAAGTTTCGGCTGAGGTAGAGCCAGAGAAATATGATGACGGTGGTCTGCCATGTTGTTAATTTGCTCGTGAAGCGGGACGAGAGTGATCGAATGAATGGTGGACCATGTTTATCCGCTCTGTTGATATACGCAGTGGTTAGCTCTTGTACGCGCAGTTGACAGGAGGAACCACGGACTTAAGCAAGTAAATCGACCAAAAAGAGACTACCGCAAATACTTGGATCTTGCGAAAGCGGGTGGAGGGTCTCCCCAAGACGTGATCTAGATGTTCTTTAGACTCGTATGCCCCAGTCGGTGGCTGTAGGGTCCATACCTATCATTTTCCCAAGAGCTTTCTTGCCAGCTCCTGTATTCTAGGTGAAGCCAAGAGAAAGGAGGATTCATATTTACAAAGAAGACACGACGTCAGCCACAAGCTGAACAAGTCGAAACCGCGGAGTCGTCATTGGCGAAGGGGTGTTCACATGTGAATGCGGATCTCACATGTGATGCCCATCAGCTGACCAGTCACGGGACTGACATGTTTAGTACTTGTGCGCATAATCCATGGATCCATTTTATGCTTATATGTCTGTTGATCTATACTTTTTGACGGCAATAGTCCCGTCCATGTCCTACTTGCCAATTACACAACGAGACCTCCCATCCCATACTGAGCAGTCCGGCAATACAGATACCACCAGAGTCACTGACAGTGGTCGCTCCGAGTGAGAATTCACGGTCCTCTTTCGGTACACGATCAGTTATCTCGGCAAAGGTGTTGACATACACCACGCCACCGAGAAGTCCCTCCCAGAATATGATGATGAACACAATCCAGACACTCGGGATGAAGTCGAACAAAGCGTGAAGAGTCAGCACCACCAGATTGAGTACCTGCAATAGCGAAGGGAGGTACAGATGATGAATGCGGTAGAACGGGGTAGAGGAGCGGGAGATGAACACACCGATCTGGTAGATGGCATTGTAGGTGGGGTAGAAAGATCGGAAGTGCTCGAAGGGCGACTCGCGCAAGGGAAAAAGTAGAGTAGGTGCAACCCCTTGATTGATCACATACTCGGCAATATAAACGAGCAGCATGGGAACCATACTAGACATCTGTCAGCCTTCGAGGGGTCGGATCGACTCGAGAGAAACACTCACAAAGGGATAAATAAAGCCTTCACGCGACGAAGATTCAACATAGCCTGATCCTTCCAGGAACCATCTTGACCGAGTTGCGCGGACTTCTGAGAAGTGGTGGCACCGTGCGACAACCCCAGAAGTCCCTCGTTTTCCCCACGTCCGCTATCCATCTCATCTTCCTCCACTTCCTCTCCGCCTTCAATGACACGGTATCTATCTGCAGATTCGGCAGACCGCAGAGGTGACTTGGGTAGCACGACGAAGAAGCTCAGCACCATCACAGCAGGTAGGCATGCGGAAACCAACAATGTGCTACGGACAGAGAGCCCCAGTGCCGAAGTCGCCAGGGCGTAAGCACCAGCCCCGATCAAACCGGCAGCACCAGTCCCACTGCCCCACGCTGCCAGACTGAACGGGCCGTAGTAATGCGTGAGACCCATGAAGCTTAGCTCACCGCCACCGCTAGAGAAGCTAGCCAGAATGATCCCTGCGATCTTCGACGAAATTGTACCTCCATCCGTATAGCTCGGGCTCATGGCCACAACCAGCATACCGACAGCTGACAGGAAGACGAATATGATGACGCGCATCCAGTACGGGACCAGGTGGATGAAGTACGGGGCGACGAGCTTGGTCACAAACGAGGGGATCACATCCGCGAGAAGAACAACGCCTTTGGGTATATCTGGGCCGACTAGATCTACGGCTGCGGAGAGAATGATCACATAAAGGACATTGTTGATCAGGCCTATTGCGGTTAGCAGGACACAACTTGAGGTAGACTAATGCGCACCAAACAGCCAAAATGCGACACAGACTCGAGGGTCTGCGCCGCTGAAGGCGCCGCTGAAGCGGGCGCCGAAACGGGACCAGAGGGAAGATCGTTCTTGGGAGCAGAGCGCATCCTCGTCGGAGGATGAATGAGGCATTCAGTTGGGTTGTGAGCAAGCTACAGGTGAAAAGTGAATAGGCTCAACGTTCATTTCTAAATTCAAATATGAAACAGGGGGAGATCGAAGTGGAAGGCCTAAGTCAAGTGCGCAGAGTGACGACTCCTTTTGCGAGATCCACCGCTTCCGTCCGCTGACACTGACACTTGGCGCTCCACACCCTCACGCGACACATTTCCAGATGTCTTCTCTATGTCTTTTATAATGTAAACCGAAAACAAAATGCTATATATCAACTTGCAGGTATCAGGAAAACAAAGGTCGTAATCGGCATTCAGGGGAAATCGCTCATGCCTTGACCACAGACTCGATAGCTTGCTCCAAAATACGGAGACCGGTTTGGATTTGGTCGTTAGTAATGGTCAACGCGGGAACGAAACGAAGACAGCCATCGCCAGCAGTGATGATCAGCATACCACGCTCACGGGCAGCGGTGATAATGTCACCGGCCTTGGCAGTGTACTCCGGCGCAAGCTGAAGACCCAGGATCAAACCACGACCGCGGATCTCAGAGAGCGCGCTGGGGAACTTCTTCTGCAGAGCCTGGAATCCAGCCACGAAGACATCAGACTTCTCCTTGACAGACTGCTGGAGCTCAGGATCCGCGAGACGCTCGACGATGTGGTGGGCCACGCGGCAAGCCATGGGGTTACCGCCGAAGGTGGTGCCGTGGTCGCCGGTCTTGATGTGTTGGCCAACAGACTGGCCGGAAACAATGGTGGCGCCAATGGGAATACCGTTACCCAGGGCCTTGGCGGTGGTCAGGATATCGGGGTGGGCAGCCTCGCCAGAAGCAGGGGCGAGGGAGGGGTGTGCGTGCGCCCAGAAGGAGCCAGTGCGAGAGAGACCGCATTGGATCTCATCGTAGATCAGAACGGCACCGGTCTCGTCACAGCGCTTGCGGAGAGCAGCCAGGAATTCGGGGGTAGCAATGTGAACACCGCCCTCACCTTGAATGGGCTCGACGATGACACCACATGTCTTGTCAGTGATGAGGGTCTGGAGTTGCTCAATTTGATTGAAGTCTCCATACTTGAATCCCGGGATCATGGGCGAGAAGGGAGTCTGGTACTTGGGGTTGGGCGTGGCCGAGAGGGCACCCATCGTGCGGCCATGGAAAGAGTTGTTGAAGGAGACAAACTCGTGCTTCTCACCCGAGGGGTTCAGAGTACGGCCAACCTTGCGAGCGAACTTGATGGCGGCCTCGTTGGCCTCGGTTCCAGAGTTACAGATGAACACCTGCGAGGCATCGCGCATAGCACCGGACTTCTTAGTCAACTCAATCAAGAGCTGGCTCAAGGCACCGGTCCAAGGGTTGTGGTACAGGTTGGAGGCGTGGAGAAGGGTCTCGGCCTGTAGATCAGACACGCTAATTAGCAATTGGTCTCGAGAGAGAACAGAGGGTATGTAGAGTGTAGCGCACCTGCTCTGCGATGATCTTCGCGATCTCGGGGTCACAGTGGCCGAGAGAGTTGACCGCAATTCCAGCGGTCAGATCCAAGTAGCGACGGTTCTCCATATCCCACAAGTAGCAACCTTGTCCCTTCATCATCATAGGAGCTGGGCGAACATAGGTCGAAACCATGAACGGAGCCCGCTCATTGACAAAGGACGTTGTGATTGAGTCGGCCGAAGGATCAGGGTTGGGCACAGCTGCCTCCTTCTGTGTAAAAAAAATGTAAGCATCAAGCTAAGTATACAACTCATTCGACGTACCTTGGCTTTCACATCCTGGGCACTGGATGTGGCCAATCGGCGCTGCACCGGTGATTCAAGGGCAGGGACAAACTTGGAGACGCGAGGGAGACGGCGCGCAGCCAGACGGAGGGCAGACATGATTATATGGGTATCAAGGAAACTGCTAATCGCAAACAAAAGATCGCACGAATGACCGGATCAGCGAGCTGCCGGGAGAAATAGAAAAAGGCGATATCGGGATCGGCGAATCTTAGTCACTGTGGAGATTGAGTCAATATCTCCGAACTTCAAGCTGTTTGACTCACTGGACATATCATTGCCCTCATACAAAATGCCTTTCTCTCTTGCTATTCGTCGCTCAATTGTCTCGGCTACTGCGTCCCGTAGCGCCATCCGGTCATTTTCCACAGGGCGCGCCTTGCGCCAGGGCGACGACAAGCCTATGCCCTTCTCCAATTCTCCGGCTCCTCCGCGCCTCCCAAAGGAAGAACAAGAAATCTTCGAGCAACTACAGAAGCGCTCGACTGGAGCATTCAGTACACCCCAAGTCAACCAGTCCCCACAGGCAGAAATTCAGGCCGACGGTAGTGGTGGCGAGTTACACCCCGATGCGCCGAAGGGACTGAAGCCGGAGTTCGAGGGCGAGAAGAACCCCAAAACTGGTGAAGTTGGAGGACCAAAGAATGAGCCTCTGCGCTGGGGATCTGGAAGTGACTGGAGCTATGGTGGACGTGTCACTGATTTCTGAGTGACTTGGTCACAGAAAGTTGCATATATTGGGCGTTGGTGTTTGTCGTCGGAAGACCATAATGTAAATAAAATACTCATCAATACGTTCAAGCATCTTTTGTCTACCTTTTTGACGGTCATGAGCACTAAAGTGTACGATCATCTTGCATAACAAAACCATGCCCCCCGCAGCCATGAAAGGTACTTCCTGAATCACCTGTAGCGCATCCATATAGTGCGTGGCTGTTTTCTACTCAAAACCCACAATATCCACGACAAAAAAATATACAGGATGCAATGAATCAATCTGATAACCATACACACATTGATTGATTGACAATCAGAGCTTTGCCTTCTCAGCTGCAAGGCGGGCGAGAGTGGCTTTTCCAGCCCGACTATCATTAGCTCGCCCCAACTCCCCGCTGATCCAAGATCCAACCTTCGACATCTCCTCTAGACTGATACCTGTATGCATTCCCAGGCTATGAATTGTGTGCACGAGGTCCTCGGTCGCCACATTTCCCGTTGCACCTTTGGAGTATGGGCAACCACCAAGGCCGCCCACGCTACTATCGAAGATGCGAACGCCATGCTCCAACCCGACGATCGTATTCACCAGTGCCTGGCCGTATGTATCATGGAAGTGCAATGCCAGGTCTGTATTGGCGATACCGGCAGCTTTGAGCGCCTGCAGAAGCTCCATGGTGCGGGGAGCAGTACCCATGCCAGTGGTGTCCGCCACCGAGACTTCGTCAGCTCCCATTTCTAGAAGTGTGGCGGTAATTTCAGCGACCTTAATGGGATTAACGTCGGGACCTTCGTAAGGACAACCAAGTGCGACAGAAACATATCCGCGTACTCGGATATTCTTTGTCTTTGCCAGTGCAACAATCGGCTTAATTCGCTCGAGGGACTCGTCAATGGTGCAGTTGGTGTTGGCTTTAGAGAAAGCTTCCGTTGCTGCTGCGAAAAGCGACACCTCGGTTGTTGTGGCGGCCTCTGATGTCTCTCCACTTGCATCAGCGGGGACTCCCGTCTCCTCCATGACCTTGACAAGGCTTTCTAGCCCTCTAATGTTGGGGACTAGGTAATTGTATGCTATGGTAGACTGCGCTGGCGGGGGTTTTGAGAGAAGATGCTCACAAATCTCAGCTGTGCTTGCCATCTAGAGTCGTGGGGAAATTAGTCTCTTCTGCGTCCAAAGCTGTTGTGGCATGATCGGCGACATCATACCTGCGGTACCCATTTGGCAGGGACAAATGACCCAGCTTCAATGGTGGTTACGCCTGTCTTGGCGAGCCTTTTGATCAATTCGAGCTTTGTTTCCTTTGAAATAGACTTCTTCTCATTCTGCAGTCCATCTCGAGCGCCGACTTCAACGATGCGGACATGGTCCGAGGTTAACCGCGACTCAGTCGCAAAGCGGCGTACAGCTAAGGGGGAGCAGAGCGCAGAGAAAAGACGTAAATTGGGGCGAGCTGCAATCATCGTATATGTTGGACCAACCCTTTTGGTCAAAAGGTCAAAAGAATCAAAGAGTCACGGTGAATAACTTGTACAGGGAGAACAGCTTGGGGGCATGGAAGAGTAGCAGGCCGAGATGCGGAGAGCGCCTTACCATCTTTGGACTAGTGGATCACCCCACCTCTTAATCAGCAGAAAAAAAGTGCCCGCCCTAAGTGGGATGATCAACGAGATAGTCCTTTGAACATTGATATTCGATCCTCCATTTGATACCATGGATCCCCAGCCTGTATCCACCGAGGATGGCTCGCAAGCCAGCCAAATGCGTCAACCAAAGAAAAGATTCGTTGGCCGAAGAACGGCAGATGCACAAGCCCAGAAGGATTCGACCGGACAGAAAGACGTAGAGTCCACCGCGGTTCAAACAGGTATATGCCACACGTCACTCAAACATAAATGCATGCGCCTAATTTTCGATCCATATAGCCGCGCCCCGGAGAACCCCTCGCACCCTCAACCAAGTCCCACCAGAGATCCTGAACGATCCCGAAATCAAAGAAGCCATTGAGCTCCTTCCCAGCAACTACTCATTCGAGATCCCGAAGACCATCCACCGAGTTCGCACATCAGGAGCTAAGCGTGTAGCCCTTCAATTCCCCGAGGGTCTCCTCATCTTCGCCACCACCATATCAGACATCCTCACACAATTTTGTCCGGGTATCGAAACCCTTATCATGGGCGATGTCACCTACGGCGCATGCTGTATCGACGACTACACAGCCCGTGCCCTAGGCTGCGATCTCCTAGTCCACTACGCACACAGCTGCCTGATCCCCGTTGACGTAACGAAGATCAAAACACTATACATCTTCGTCGACATAAGCATCGACACAACGCACCTCCTTGCAACACTAGAGCGAAACTTCAAACCAGGCCAATCAATCGCAACAGTCGGCACAATCCAATTCAATGCTACTCTGCATGGCCTGAAACCCGTTCTCGAACGCGCAGGCTTCCGCGTCATCATCCCCCAGATCACCCCGCTCTCCAAAGGCGAGATCTTGGGCTGCACTTCGCCTCAGCTGTCGGATACCGAAATCGACGCAATCCTCTACCTCGGTGACGGTCGTTTCCACCTCGAGTCTGCTATGATTCACAATCCTTCTATCCCGGCTTATAGGTATGATCCATACTCGCGCACACTCACACGCGAAAGCTACGAACACGAGGAAATGCACACGATTCGCCGGGACGCTATCGCTACTGCCAAGTCGGCGCGGAAGTGGGGTATTATTCTTGGATCACTGGGTCGACAGGGTAATCCGCATACGATGGCAATGATCGAGAAACACCTGCGTGAGCGTGGGATTCCGGTTGTCAACTTGCTTCTTAGTGAGATTTTCCCAGGGAAGCTTGCTTCCATGGCGGATGTGGAGTGCTGGGTGCAGATTGCTTGTCCGCGACTGAGTATTGATTGGGGGTATGCGTTTTCTCGGCCTTTGCTGACACCTTATGAGGCGCTGGTTGCGCTGGGTGTGAAGGAGAATTGGGATACGGGGAACAAAGGTGTTTATCCGATGGATTTCTATGCCAAGGAAGGACTTGGTCGGACAAAGCCACAGACTGCATAGTTGGATAAAATTGGTCGGGCGAAAAAAACGTATATACCCCCATAGACTTGGACAGCGGGACTGGCTCTAAAGACATGACGTCCTTGCAAACGAATTTACACGAATAAAATGGCACATTCGCAGCATGTACTGGGTAGAAAGGAAATTATTAATATCAGCCAGGCTATCGAAGGCCCGGCGAAGATGTCATGGTATTTCATTTCAAAGTATCAGACAACCAATCCTAATCAGTTACAAGGTTCATAAGACGAAGACATGATTAGCTTCACCCTTTCACATCATCAGCACTATCCGTGTTGAAATCACTGGCACTGCCACGTCTGAGAGAAAGGACGTTCTTGTTGGCCAGCTCATCGGCAGTGCGTTCAGCTGCTCGCCAACGAGTCACGGCCTGTTGAATATCCTCAAACATTTCCAGGGAATCCTGGATAATGCCACCTTCATCGCCGTCACCAACTTGGGTGCTTTCACGGGAGCCACGGTCACTGGTCATGGGGAAAGCAGGTCCAAAGCCTCGCTGGGGAATGGGGTTAAACATGATGGCATTTGCGAACATGCGGATCAGCTCCTTCTCCAGCTGTGCGGAGTTCACAATGCCCTTTGGGGGAATCAATTCTTCAGTCTTTTGAAGCATGAGCACGCCACTTTTGGAGGGTGTGCCGCCCGGGGCAGGAGATTCTCCATCTCCCGGGGTACTAAAGGATTCGCTTGCTGTGGCAACGGCTTTGCTGCCCTGATGAACGGCAGACTTAATAGTCTTCAAGTCCTGTGGCCGATAGATGAGATCGTGGTAGCCTGGTGCATCACGTTCTCCGATCGGTTTGCCGAAGATGGAGGCAAGCTTGTGGGTCGCAACGTCATTCATGAGCGGCTGCGCAGTGCGATGGAACTGGCGGGCAGCCATGACATATTTGGTCGTGTCAAATCTGGGAATGTCCGCCGGATGAGGTTCTACATCTAGAGCCTCACTTCCGCCACGCTTGCGCTTCGACCTGGCTTTGGGAGTTTCGTCGTCGGCGGCAGCGGGGGCACCCTTCCGGCGACCTAGTGCTCGTAGTGTATCGTCCGAAGGCGCAACTGATCCATCACGAGAAGCCATTGACCGCCCTCGACTGCGAGAAGATGCCGAGCTAACAGCGCGCATTCTCCGACTTGATGCTTGCTTCTCAGTCTTGATAGTAGGTGTAGATTTGGTGTCAGGCTGGCCACGGCGTGACTTTCTTTCATCTGAGGACTTTCGAGGAGGAGGAGACATATCCATTCCATCTATGGGCGATCCCCTCTCGCTGATGGGACTGACATCTTCTGGACGTGGGCGTGGAGGTGATGTCGGGGAGTGAGGAATGCTCAGGCGCGGAGTCCTCTTCCAAGGGGTTGAGGAACCTTGAGTGTCGATCGACAAGCGAGGATGTGAGGCGCGTGATTCGGAAAATGAAGGCAACCTGGTGCTTGGGGTTTGTGAAATGTGCGGACGACCAAGTGGGACAGGCGTTTGAAGCGCAGAAGAGATGGCGCTGGGCGTTTGAGGGGCAGGATGTTGAAGAGGAACTTGAGATTGTGGCCCTGGTAAAGGGGTATTGATAGATTGTGGTAGAGGCCGCTTGGCGGTGACCTGACCAGTTTGAGGTGTGGTGGTCCCGGGAGAGACGAGAGGATAGGGAGAGTGGGGTGAAGGATCCAGCTGCCACTGCTGGAAGGTTGGTTGAGCTGGGGTTCGTTGGGACGCAGGCAAAAGAGGGCCGGTCTTGGTTGACAGACTTGAAGGGGGTGGAATAGGATGCGCACGAGGTGCAATCTGCGATGGATGTGACGGCGCAGTTCGCGCAGCAGCAGGTGTTGTGGGGGGTATTTTCTGAGCTGAGGGTGCAAGCGGTTGGATGGGTTGCTTCTCTGTGGGTGGGGGGTTTGCAGACTGTAACGGTGCTACTTGCTCGGCCTCTCCTTGTGGCTTGTGCGGTACGGTTGATGCTTGCGGGACTAAAGATTGGGCCACTGGAGGTGCTGGTTGTGGCCTCGGAGACTCGTGTGATGAAACAGGTATAGCCACCTCAATCCGCTGTTTCCGTAGCTCGGGTTGGACCTTGTCCTGAACAAGAGGAACAGTTGCCTCAAGTGGCTTGCCCGTGGATTCTCGGACATTTTGACGCGAAGTCTCTTCCTTCACATCAACGTCCATCGGCTCAACTGGTGCGAGCTCAGGTTTCTTCTCTTCGGTGGCCGCGACGTCTGCCTCCACGGTCTTACTTTCCTCCTCTTGGAGCTGTTCCAGTTCGGCACGGATATCGGAATATTTCTTCTCGTCGTCCCTGATTTCCTTGGTTACCAGCTCTTTGTATTTGGCATAAAGATGCGCTACTAGCTCTGGAACCAGTGTGGCATGGGTGATCCCATCAGCCAGATCGACAGGTCGCGGACTAGATATTTTGCGCTTTTTCGGGTTAGGACTAGACGCATCTGTCTGTCGACCATCCCGGGTCGCATCGTCACGACTGAAGCCATCGCGCATCAATGTCGCGTACAGGTCTTCTAATGCCTCTGGGGTGAGTCGATCGGCGTCGAACTCTACATGATCGCGTACTAGCTGATTGCTGCGCAATAGTGTCGAGATTGAGCCGAAGCTTGCCGGTCGGGAGTCGGACGTCGCAAGGGATTGGAAGAACAGCAGGGACTCAAACGGAGTGTAGGCCGACAGAGGAGGCATCCCCCATTGCCCGTCCAGTCGGCCGCTGGGGGAAAGAGCTTTAGGGATCGGGGCCACGGTGGTCGGCGATATCAGGTCACAGGCTGGGGTCTGTCCAAAGGGCTTAGATTCTTCGAGATGTACGCGACAGGCTAAGGCGAGACGCAATCCGCGTAACGCAGAAAACTCGGACGGAAAATTCTGAGGGAGACTACCACGGCCCACTTGGACTGTAGGAGTACTGGTCGACGCGTCGATAACAAATTAAAGGCAAAGAGATGGATATAATCCACGAGATGACGATCAATAGTGAGATACGAATAGGAATGACAAGGGGGATTGGCCCAGTTCCTGTATGGGGATCATGTGACCAGTTGCCAGGGAGGAAAATCTGTCAGAATGCGGTTGACGTCGACTATCGCACCATGAACGTCTTCAATATCTATTTACGAGTATGCAGGTTTGATCTCAGTTAATATTTGCCGCTGGGAACTGAAATATCGGGATTTGACCTGATATTCATGCAAAATTAAATGTGTACACCTGTTCGCCCCTAAAGGCCCCTAAATCCCTAAAGGACCCAGGTCTCCATAGTAATTAGCCCAAATGGTCCTATCGAAGAGCACACCCCACGCTGTCAGGGAGTACCCAGGTGTGTCCTATGCTCTCGGGAACATGCGCACTCTGCCATGCAAGTGATAAAGCGGGCTATACTTCGTACAATCCCTGTAAATAACGCCCCCTTTTTGATGGCACAAACGTAAAACATCAAATGTGGGGAGGAACTACGAGTAGCATAGGAGTGTAATAGATGTATTGGAAAGTCCCGAGCCCCTGAATTTCTAGAGCCCCTTTTTTATGCGAGACGATAATTGCGTAGTGGTATTACGGCGTAATGATCTCCTTGCTCCCGAGTGGTAGGGTGGACTAGTAATGATCAGCTCTTTCAATTTCACTCTTCTTTCCTCTCTCTCTTCCTCTCCCCTCTCTTGGATTGTTTCAGCTTCAGTCTCAGTGTCAAAAGCCTTCACAATATCTTCTGCTTTCTACAAATCCAACATTCCAACTCATCTCTACCGAGTCCGCTTACCGCTTACCGCGCCTAAGTATGAATTGTCTGAAGTATAAGAACGATCGGGGGACTAATTTATTTTCCCGACCAGATCCGTGACGTGATCTATTCTTTACCAACACCAACGCACTTTCTCTTTGCCTCGAGGTTACACACTCGTCTTCACACTCGTCTTCCGTCATAAATACATTTGGGGTCCCGAACGTGGCCCACGCTTTTGAAACACATCATGTCCGACCAGGAATGGAAGCCGAAGATGCGCCCTCAGTCGTAGGTGACCCTGAGCTCGACTTGAAGCTTCGAGATATTAACTATGGCTAGAACTATGGCGCAAGCGTTCTCGTCCGCATTAGACAGCGCATTCATGCTTGACTCTGATATCAACAACTTGTCGCAAACCGTCGACCAGAAGTGAGTGTGGTAAATGACAGCCACACCACAGTGCCAGTGGGCTAACCTCGTCCACAGGAAGCAACAGATGATGATCCAGAACCGTGAGCTCGAAGAACTGCAGAATCGCATCCGCGAGGCCGAACTGCGGCTCCAGTCGTCCCAGAAGGCGGGCGTGGCCCCCGCCGGTTCAGGACAGCAGGGTGAGCGCTTCTGATCGTTGTACCCTGTTCGGCCATTTGATATAGCCAGTCTGTTTGCGCCAGGGTCTGACTGTGTGACAGCTCCCCAGGGATCCGAGCACTCTGAGCAGCGGGCCAACCATTGAGCAGCACCCCGATCGCTGGGCCCTCGGGACAGCGAGGTCAGAAGACGTTCGGACCGATCCATATGGGACTCGCGTCGCGTCCATCAGACGCATGATTCAGATTCAGGATGTTTTTGCTGCTTTTACAACTTTTGGTTCTTTTGGCATTTCTTGAAACCCCCTATGTACTGGAAGAAGTTCCCCTCGTTTGCATCGCCACGGCGGACACCTGCGATTTTTCCCCGCGAGTCTTTTTTTTTTTTTTTTTTTCTTTTTTTTTCTGAATTGAGATACGAGTTGGAATGGAATTTCCCAGAAAGGTGTATGGAGTATAGTTCAATTGAGCTGTGCTGTGCTGGCCCGGACCTTAACGATAACGTAGTCTCGAACCAATCGACCCTGAGCCGTGCGTCCAATCACACCGTCACATTCCAAAAATCCACCCCAAATCTGTCGTCATTATGCCTTGTTCGCGCAAAGTACAGAAAGCTGGCACGGGCGCTCGGTGGAGCTTTCTGGAGGTTGGAGTTGCGGAGTACCTGGACCCCCCCCTCCATCTGGCTTTTCTCTTCCCTTCTCTTTTTTTTTTAATTCCTCATCCTCTCGTTATAGACTGGTTTTAATTCCATTCTACTTTGCGCCTATTGAAAGGCTGCATTTGGCTCAATTGTGTGGAATCTGAGTACTGCCCACCATGCTGATCGACGGGAAAGAAGTGATAACGGCTGAGGAGCAGCGCCTGAAGGAAGATCGGGAGAGAACTAAGTACTGGAAGGTATGCTCACCACACTCTTGGTTGGGGGAATGGGAATTAATTCAAATAGCGCTGGGGACCATATGTGGCTGAGAGACAGTGGGCGACTGGTAAGTCGATGTCCATAAGAATACGGAATATATCTGACATCCTTCAGTCCGTGAGGATTACAGCGCGGATGGCGATGCCTGGAGCTATCTGACGTACGATGACGCTCGGTCGCGCACTTATCGGTGGGGTGAAGACGGTATCGCCGGTGTCTCCGATACACACGGCCTACAGAACATCGCTTTTGCCTTTTGGAACGGCGAAGAGTATGTCTCTTTTCTTTTCTTCTCTCTTTTCGTCTCCCTTTTCTTCTCCCTTTTCTTGACTCTCTTGGGTGCTAACGGTGATTCCAGCGACTTCCTAAAGGAGCGCCTGTTCGGTCTGTCCAACCCTCAGGGTAACCATGGTGAGAGTGTCAAGGAGGCCCATTTCCATGTGGACAATACCCCAACGGTAAGCAAACGCAAGACCGTGCAGCCCTCGTTTCAGAAGCTCACCCAATTATAGCATTCTTACATGAAATTCCTGTACAAATACCCCCAGAGGAAATTCCCATACCAAGATCTCGTGGATGAGAATGCCAAGCGCTCCCGCTTGGAGAAAGAATACCAGATTTTGGATACTGGTATTTTCGATGAGAACCGTTACTGGGACATCTACATCGAGACGGCCAAGGAAGCCGATGACGAAGAAGAGCTGCTCTTCCGTGTGATCGCATACAACCGTGGCCCAGAGCCGGCCCATCTACACATTGTTCCGCATGTTTGGTTCCGGAACACATGGGCCTGGGGCGACGAGAAGAAAAAGGAAAAGCCTTCAATTAAGAAGGACGGTTCCCTCGTCGCCAAGACAGAGCATAGCAAGATCGGTGAGCGCTATGTCTCGTTTGCGCCCTCGCCTCCCGTCGGCACCAGTGACGATGATGTTCAGCCAGAGCTGTTGTTCACTGAGAACGAGAGCAACAACAAATTGCTGTGGGATACTGAGAACAGCACTCCCTACGTGAAGGATGCTTTCCATCGTCACATTGTCGAGGAAGAGAAGGGCGCCGTCAACCCGGACAACGAGGGCACCAAGTTTGCTGCATGGTACGCTTTCAACAACGGCGAGGGTGTCCCACCCGGCGAGTGTGCCGTCGTTCGTTTTAGAGTCTCCCGCAAGAAGGAGGACTTCGTTGACGAAGAAGTCCTCGATGATGTGATTGAGCAGCGTCGCGCCGAGGCCGATGACTTCTACTACCATCTTAACCCTCTCCCCATGAGTGATGATCTTCGCAACATTCAGCGTCAGGCCTTCTCTGGAATGATGTGGTGCAAGCAGTACTACAACTTCATCTGGGATCAATGGGCGAATGGCGACCCCGCAGAGATTCCTCCCCCAGAGGGGCGAAAGGGCATCCGCAACGAGCAGTGGCGCCATTTGTATATTGACGACATCCTGTCCATGCCCGACTCATGGGAGTATCCTTTCTTCGCCGCGTGGGACACTGCCTTCCACTGTATCCCACTGGCGATGATGGATCCCGAGTTCGCAAAGAAGCAACTTGATCTCCTTACTCGGGAGTGGTACATGCACCCCAACGGCCAGCTTCCCGCCTACGAGTGGAACTTCGGTGACGTGAATCCTCCCGTGCACGCGTGGGCTGTGTTCCGCACGTTCAAGATTGAGCGTAAGATGTACGGACGACAGGATCTGGATTTCCTTGAACGTGTCTTCCAGAAACTGTTGTTGAACTTCACCTGGTGGGTAAACCGCAAGGACACCAGTGGCAAGAACGTCTTCGAGGGTGGCTTTTTGGGACTCGATAACATCGGTCTCTTCAACCGTTCAGAGCCGTTGCCCACTGGTGGTGTTCTCGAGCAAGCTGACAGCACTGGCTGGATGGCATTCTACTCCCTGACCATGCTCAACATTGCATTGGAGTTAGCTAAGCACCGTCGCATTTACGAAGACATTGCATCTAAGTTCTTTGAGCACTTCTTGCTCATCAGTGATGCAATGACGTTCCGTAACGGAGACGACACCGTGCAGTCACTCTGGAACGAGGATGACAGCTTCTACTACGATGCCATCTCTTACGGTGGGCCCTGGACCCAGCAGCTGCCCATTAGATCTCTCGTCGGCCTGATCCCGCTCTACGGTGTCTTGACCCTAGAGCCCGAGCTGATCAACAAGTTCCCCTCGTTCAAGCGACGAGTGGACTGGTTCATCGAGAACCGATCAGACGTTGCTGAGCGCAACATCGCCAGCATGAAGCACCGCGGCAAAGGCGACAGACTCCTCCTTGCCCTCGTGAGCAAAGAGCGTCTGATCAAGATCCTCGAGCGCATGCTCGACGAAACCGAGTTCCTCTCCAAGCACGGTATCCGCTCCATGTCCAAGTACCACGAAGATAACCCCTACTCAATGGACGTCAACGGACAAACCTTCAAGGTTGGCTATGTCCCCGG